GTCTCAGACTTATATACTTAAAAGCAACACTGAAATTACCTGTTTCTAAATCACTATTTATTTATACAATGTAGAAGCATCAAGAGAAAGAGAGATGGAGTTTTTGTTTACAAAAATGCATCCTACAGACATGTTGGCAAAAAATCAGACGTAGGGAAAAGCAATTTCAAAGACAGAATATGTGGGAATCAAACAGTAATCAGAAATATGACCATTAAGCTTCATGTTTCTTTGGAAAACACATCTAACATTTCCTGTTTTTGATATTGCACTTGAGTGTTTTTTTTTAACCAAATCACAACAGGCTGAAATCCATCCTGTCAAAATGTGAACGCATAATGGTGCAGTGACATTTTGGCAGGAAAAAAAAGGTACTCTGTAAAGGTGAAGCACAGCAAAGCAACCTAGTCATTAACTCCAGGGATACAAGGTGGGGTTTTATGCTTTTACAACTAAATGCCACACATCTTGAAACAGGGAGGCTTTTCTTCAGGAAAGAGAATAACCCCAATATTTTATGTTATTATAAAAACAAAGATATGCCTCCACTTTAGGAAATAAAAATATGTATGTGTGTGTGTGTGTGTGTGTGTGTGTGTGTGTGTGTGTGTGTGTGTGTAACTGAGGCTTAAATTCAGGGCTTTGGACTCTCACTAAGCCTTTTTTTAAAGACTGGCATTCTACTACTTAAATCATAATTCCACTTCCAGGTGTTTGCTACTAAATTGGACATAAGAATCTCACAGACTTTTCTGCCCAGGCTGGCTTCAATTCTGGATCCTCAGATCTCATCCTCTTGAGATCTGGCTAGGATTATAGGCATGAGCCACTGCCCTCCAGCCAAAAATGGCTGCTATGTGGTTCTACTCTATAAGTTGCAGAGATAACAGTAAAAGGGAAGGAATCAATGGTACCCAAATAGAACCACTTTGTAAACATGGAAAATAGGCAATCTGGTATACCACCCAAATTATTATGAACTGACAACTTGGTTAACACTACTACAAACAGACTCAGTGCCTATGAGGAAATGAACTTGATGCATTATTTCTCTCTGGCAAGGTGGAACACACTGTGAGCTCTACACCTATTGTTCTTACATCTCAGGAGATGTCTGAAAGCTTCACTCTCTTTCATTGCCCTCTATCTCCTCCCTCCAAAAAATTTCAATTTGTTTCTCTAACGTTCACCTATAAGCTTTGTGTACAGAAATGTTCATAGAACAGAGAATTATTCCAAATGCTTCCTTAACCAACATTCAGGGATTTGGGCTTAGTAATGGTCAATGCTTGTGCCATTGTTGGCTAAATATCATTATGACTACCTTTAGTTAAGAGCATTGTAAATCAGTTGGACATCGGTGGCTTATGCCTGTAATCCTAGCTATTCAAAAGTTGGAGATCTGCAGGATCACACTTCCCAGTCCACCTTTGGCAAAATTTTGTTAGACTCATTTCAACAGAAAAAGCTGGGCCCAATGAGGCCTGTCTGTGATACTATTGGTTGCATTATAGAAAGGATCAAGGGGAAAAAAAGTAAGGTCCCATCTCAAAAATAATTCGAACAAAAGGGGTTAGGGGTATCGCCCAAGCAGCAGAATACGCACCTAGCAAACCCAAAGCCCTCAGTTCATACCTCACTACTGCTAAAAGATTGTGAATCATATACAGGTTAAGAATCCCCAGTTTGAAACTTTAGAATCTAAAATGCTCCAAAATTCAGGAAAGAAAAGTATTTAGACAGTATTCTGAGCATTGTCTAATACTCACTGCAAGTACCGTATCCAACTACATTCAGGTTATTATATGAAGAAAGTATACATGAATCACAAGCCAACTTCAGGTGTGAGCTTGAGTCTCATCTCCAAAATATCTCATTATGTATATGGGAATATTCCAAAGTTCAAAAATATCTGAAATCCAACATACCTCTAGTCTCAAGCATTTAATAACCGAGCCACTACACCTCTATCGATAAGGTATTATGTTGTAAGTACTTTGTAACTGGTAGCTATTTTTGTTAGCATTGATGTTTGTACTTGCATTCAGCACATTGGATTTTCTGACACTTCCCATCTAGTGGACAAGACCAAATGCATCTCCCACTCAAAACCATGGCCATGGCAGCAGAAGCCTTCTCTGCACAGCCTCTGATCTACATTATGTGGCCTAAAAGCATCAGTGAGCATGAAGTCTGAAGTCTGGACTGTTAGCATCAGTGTACATTTGATGATGTTTGAGACTCAAAAACAATTCCTTTAAAGCCAGGCCAGTGGCTCATGCCTGTAATCCTAGCTACTCAGGAAGCTGAGATCTGAGGATCATGTTTCCATGCCAACCCAGAAAGAAAAGTCTATGAGACTTTCAGCTCCAATTAGCCAGGAAAAAAGTTGAAAATGGTGTTGTGGCTAGACGCAAGCTAAAAGTTCAGGGATGGCACCAAGGTCCCTAGCTCAAGCCTTAGGACCAACACACACAAAAATATCCCTCAACTAAGAATCCAAGTCCAAGCTAGGCACCAGTGGCTCGCGCCTGTAATCCTAGCTACTCAGGAGGCTGAGATCTGAGGATCTTGCTTCAAAGCCAGCCCGAACAGGAAAGTCCATGAGGCTCTTATCTCCAGTAAACCACTAGTAAACCGGAAGTGGCGCTCGCTGCGGCTCACGCGGTAGAGCACTCTCTTTGAGCTGAAGAGTGCAGGGACAGTGCCCAGGGCCAGAGTTCAAGCCCCACAACTGACAAAAACAAAAACCAAAAACCCAAGTCCATGGACTCTACTGTATTTATTTTAAACTCGATAATCATTTTAAAGTCAATAATCTCCTTTATTATAGCAGCAGTCAAAAAACTCAACTGAAGTTTCCCTTATTTCCTAAGTAATTATAAAACTAAGGTGGAGGTTGAACAGGCCGCAGTTGGATGCATGAAAGGGATGCCTGAGTCCTTAGGCTCAGTGAAGTGGGGTATAGCAGGCAGGGAGATGTGCTCTGGCCACTGTCCTTCTCATGGATGTCCAGGAAAGCAAGAGCTCTTCCAGGAGAGACAGGCCACCTGATCATGCTTTCAGTTTCCCCTTAGGCCACGGTTCGACTCAGTATCGTTAAGTGAAAAATGATGGCATTTTCTTATTTTTATTTCATATTTCCCATCACTATCTTGCCCTAGAGTTTACTTTCCTACTCCATTAAAAAAAAAATTAATGAAGCCAGGAGTGTGTGGCTCACACCTGTATAATCCATGCTACTCAAGTGGCTGAGATCTAAGGGTCGAGGTTGGAAGCCAGCCTGGACAGGAAAGTCCATGAGACTCTTATCTTCAAGTAATCATCAAAAAAAAAAAAAAACCACGGAAGTGGAGCTGTGACTCAAATGGTAGAGCACTAGCCTTGAGTGAAAAAGCTCAGGGACATGTGCCTAGGCCCTAAGCTCGAGCTCCAGAACTGGCATGCATATGCACAGACAGACACAGACAGACAGAAAGACAGACAGACAGACACAAACACACAGAGGACTAATGATTTAGCAGGTGACTTCTTTTCCCAGTAAAATAACCTTACATCCCAGTGGCAATGACCATACCTTTTATTTTAATTGAGGCACTGACAATTTTGGTAACTGAAAAGCAGGGTTTTCCTATTCATATACATGCTAGGAAGCTTGTAGTAACTAGTATCACAATTTAAATTCTTGTGAGACATTTCATTGCATGTCACAACCCATTTTCACTCAGCACAGTATTTTTAATTCTGCCTCTTCATAGAAGTCGCATTATCTAGCTGACAGTGCATTTTTAAGCTCAATCCTAATTGGCAAATGTGGTGGATTTTTTTTTTCTTCTTCTTTTTCCTGCATGAATCAGGGTCCAGGAAGACAGATGGATCTCCATTCTAACACTAAACAAACCCTGACAGCCCCTGGGAGCCTGTACAAACTTGTTTTAAGAACAAATTTTTTAAATATAGAAATTTTACAGATTCATAGATTTGTAATACAGATTTCAGTCCTGTGTTGAGTCCCCACAAACTTCAAAAATGAATATATTAACAGCAATCAATATGCAACAAGGGTGTTATGCTTATGTTTATCACATACAAGTTGGTTCCTCAGTACAGACAAATCTCTATCCCACACGAGTAAAACACAGAATTAAAGGAAAGGGTAATTCTGATCAAGATGCACTATACTCATAAATTGGCATGTTTAATTGAAACTCCTTTGAACAACTATTTAAATATATCAAAAAGAGGATATAAAAGAATAAAAAATAAAATATAAAGAATAAAATATAAATTTCTATAAAATATAAATTAGATATATAAAAATATAAAATATATGGTAAATATATATATTTTTAAATGTATTAAGACATAAACATATATTTATATGTTTATACTTAAAATACATACATATAACTATAGTATATAGTATATATTTATATGTATTATGTTTATATATAAATATAAGTACATATGAACATGATAAACGTATTTAAATAAACATATTTATGTTTATTAAATAAATGTAAATATATTTAAACTTATTGTATTTATATACAAACATTTTATAAAATAAAATCTAAAATAAAAAATAAACGTTCAAAAAAAATAAACATTCAAGCTCGGCACCGGTGGCTTCTGCCTATAATCCTAGCTGCTCAGGAGGCTGAGAACTGAGGATCATGGTTCAAAGCCAGCCCAGGCAGAAAAGTCCCTGATCTCCAATAAACCACTAGAAAAATGGAAGTGGTGCTGTGGCTCAAGTGGTAGAGCGCTTGCCTTGAGCTGAAGAGTGCAGGGACAGCGCCCAAACCCAGAGTTCAAGCCCCATGACTGAAAAAAAAAGAATAAACGTTAGACTGTGAATAAACATTTTACTGTGAGTGCTATTAGAACCAGGAGAGACGGGATAGATATGGCACTATGCTGTGTGTGAGCAGCAGTTCACTTGGTCAGCAGATGAGCATGATGACAGCCATAGGTGGGTGGGTGGGGGTGGTACTCACCACTGACTCCTCCACTGATGGTGGCTCCTCAGTTTCCAGTCCAAGGTCCAGCCCGACAGCAGGTGCCACAGTGACGGGAGGCTCCTCTGCTTTCAGCTCAGTGGGTGCAGCCTGTTCAGTTTCAGCCTTGGGTTGGTTGTTGGTTGATGGGGGTTTAGAGGAAACACATCAACAAGTGAACAGATAATATTGTAGAATACATGACAATTAAGATTTTGCCAATCGTCTTTGTCATCTGAGAGGCAAGTAGTTTCATTAGATCTGTACTGTAAGAAGAATTCCACCCTTGGCATCATTAGCCTTTTCAGAACTTCAAAGTCCAGGAACAAAATCTTGTTATGCTTCTGGTTTCCCATTACCAAGAACATGTTTCCCGTGAAGTCAGCCAACTCATTCTACCTACCTGCAATGTTTTACTACTTACTTCACTGTCCATAAGAGATGTGAAAAATGGTACTTCCTTCTATTTTGTAGAGTGATGGAGGGAGTGAGACAGAAGAGAAAGAAGTAGGTAAGAGAGAGCAGAATGAGAAAGGAGAGACAGAAAGGGAGAAAAAAGAGCACGAAGAGAGAAGGAGAAACAAATCAACAAGGAGGGAAAGAGAGGGGATTTACATCTGTTAGAAGGAATGAGAGAAAGATACTGCTTCCTAATTCAAAAAGAAGGATTGATACAATGGAACAAGATTTCATAACAGCCAATATTGTAAGTACTCCAATACTGTATGATCTCTCCATTTGGGATGTCAAGGTGATTTGTTAGAAGAAAAACTTATCAAATGGCCCACACAATCGACAGAGTACACAAAGGTCAAGTGTTGGCCAAGGAGGAAGCAACCTGTGAGCTTCCCTGGCAGGATGAAGTATGCTACAATCTAAAGCCACACAAGGAACCAAGAAAAGTATCCGAACACAAAGCACATATCCTTGTACATTTTTCTTTTTTTTAAGTTCTGAGATGGGGACTTGAACTGGCTACCTGCACTTTCACTCACTGGCTAGCGCTCTACAGAGCCACACCTCCAACCCCTCTTTGTAGATGTTTTATGATGCAAACCAGATTCTGGGTTCCTTTGAAGTCCAATGAAATTTGAAGTTCCAGTAAGGCAAGAAAAACTAGGGAGACTTTCTACATGAGTTTAATAGTATTTGTTGTTGGAATTATTAACAAAGAGGGATATAGCTCTTGCTTCTCCTTTCAAGCACAACCTGTCTCATATATTAGAGTGTCCCACAGGAAAATACCAAATGTTCTGGCATGGAATTACAACTTACATTCTAGGGCGATAAAGATAACTCAAGGAATGGAAAGTAAGGATGAAGCACAATTTTATACTGTGCTCCTCTCCTAGGAGCTGTTGGCTGAAGTCCCACGGGACCCCGCATATTAAGTTCAGGGCCCAGTATTCAAACCCCCATATTGCCTCCCAATCCTGCTTCTCGAGGTAACATATGGAAGTCACTTACTCTTTCATTCCTTCTGAAGTAGTGTAAAAATCATAAATATTTTGTGAGAAGATAGAAAATGAGAGACAAATTCTCCTACTGTGTATCATGCTAGGAAAAAATCATCTAAAAGAGTTCTACAGGGATTGTGTTCTTCCCCAACTGCTGATATCATGTGATATCTGTTTGGGAATGCTGGAAATAATTTCCTATTATTTGTTTGCTATAGTGGAAAAAAATCACTATACATTCAAGAACACAGGGGGTGTAACCTTCACCTCCAAGGGGGCAGCAGGATAGTACAGTGGTTTAACTCTATGAATCAGAAAGAGACTTTTCCTTTATGATAAAAGGAATAGTGTAGCCTTGAAATACATATTCTGAAATCTTCTATGGTAAGACACAGTCAAATCAATGGGGAGCCAGGGGAGATGGGCTGGGAGACTGAAGGGGTCTATTTACAATCTAATATGGTGCCTGCCTTCTAGTTCTGCTTCCCCAACCCTGAAAACTACAAGAGACCTTGGAGGCAACTCAGAACCCTAGGTAAGATCTGCAGATTATACACTAGATGTTCTTTGGAGCCAAACAAAGCCATCAGGGAGAGTTCCAGGTGATTACCTGTTTTGTTCAGTGCAGTCAATTAACTAATTGCTGGGCTGTTCCATATTCCTGGAAAGAGACACTATAATGATGACTTACTCATAAACACACACTCAGTGTGATTTCCTGGTCCCTCACACAAGGCATGCAGCAATATTTGCAACAAAGGGTACACCAACCAACTTCCCAGGCAGAGAAAAGAGATATCTGATTCTAACTCTGCTTATTGAGAGAAGGAAAGGGCAGGCATGCACATTATTTAGAAACACCAAACACAGAACTACCATATGGCCCAGCAATTATACTTCTAGCCAGTTATCCAATAGAACACAAACAAGTAAAGCCATGAGCACAACCATGTTAATTGGAGGACTAGTCACCATAGCGGTGGAATCAGTGCAGATGCTCCTTGATGGACAAATGGATCAAGAAAATGTGGTATATACACACTATAGAATTTTACTCATCTATTAGAAATAATGCTATTGTACCATTTGTAAGGAAATGGGAAGACTTGGAAAAAATTATATTCAGTGAAGAAAGCCAGACCTAAGAAACAAAGGTTGCATGGTTTCCCTCATTTATGGTAGATAGAATGTGCCTATAAATCTATACGTAAACACAATGGGTGGTATGCAAGTGGTTATAAATGACTTAGCTGAAGTAAAATAGATTCTATGGAGAGCTCAAGTAGTATAATCTTTTAGAAAGACTAGGTCAAAGCCCAACAAAATCAATGCCACAAATTGGGTACATCCAAGGTGGAGGAAAGGGGAGATGGGAAGATGAATGAAGGTGGAGAAGGGGAGAGAATGCAGTCAAGAACTCATTGCATATACCACAAAATTAAGAAAAGTAAGGGAAGGGGTAAGTCAAAGGTGAGTCAAAGTCAATGTTGAAATGGTGATGCTGATCATGATGCAGAATATTCATAAACTGCTTTGTTACATGGTACCATCCCCTGGTACAGCTACATAAAGATAACTTAAAAATTAAAAATACATAAAAATAAGTTAAAATAAACATATAATTCTGAGCTTAGATGTTTTACATCAAAGTAGTAGGTATGAATTTGATTATAATCATTGCCTTTTCTTTTGTACCAGTATTTCTTCACTTTCTAAACCCAGTTACAATTGATAATTATAAAACAATTCTGTCACCCAGGCTGAGACTCAACTATGAACATAAAGCAGAACTAAGGAAGTGAAAAACCTCCCATGCTCCTGGATTGGAAGGATTAACATCATGAAAATGGCAATACTACAGGGATACAGGTGGGTCCATTGCAACAATGAGATGTACAAGTCGTTATGTGGAAAAACGAACTTTACAACTTTGGTGGGAGGGGGAGGAAAACTGGGTGGGGGCGGTTGGCAGGAGGATGAGAAGAGATGGGAAGGGGAAACAAAGGAGGAGGCTACAATGCTTGATAAGACACATACTCATTATCTTGCCCATGTAATTGTAACCCCTCTGTACAGTATTTTCGCAATTAAAAATAAATAAAAGAAAATGGCAATACTGACAAAGGCTATCTACAAATTCATGGCAACACACATCAATATCCCAGCTTTATTGTTTAATGAAATAGAGGAAGCAATCCAAAAAGTCATATGGAACAATAAAAAACCCCAAATAGCAAAAGCAATCCTTAAGAAGGAATAGTGCTGGAAGAACATCAATACCAGACTTCAAACTCTACTACAAAGCTACAGAAATCAAAACAGCTTGGTACTGGCACAAGAACAGACCTAAGGACCAATGGAATAGAACTGAAGACCCAGAAATGAACCTGCAAACCTATGGCCACCTAATCTTCAATAAGGGAGCTAAAAAAAAGTAGAATGGAAGAAGGACACCTCTTCAGTAAATGGTGCTGGCAAAATTGGTTAAACACCTGTAGAAAATTAAAGTTAGATCCTTATATATCACCTGCACCAGAATCAACTCCAAATGGATAAAAAAGACTTTGAGGTAAAAGCAGACATCCTTTAAACATTACAGGGAGGAATAGGAGAAACTCTAGGTCTCCTTGGCTCAGGCCGAAATTTTCTTAATAAAGACCCAGAAACACAACAAAGAAAGGTTGGACAAATGGGATTGCATGAAACTGCAGAGCTTCTGCATGGCAAAGGACATAGCTACCAAGATCAATAGAAAGCCCACAGATTAGAAGATCTTCACCAGCCATACAACAGAAAAGGGTCTTACGTCTAAAATATACTTAGAACTCAAAAAATTAAATCCCCCAACAACAAATCCTCAAAGAAACAACTGCCTGATAAATAAGTGGGCTAAAGATTTAAAGAATGACTTCTTTGCAGAAGAAATAAGAATGGCCAATAGGCACAAGAAGAAATGCTCAACTTCTCTAGCCACAGAAGAAATGCAAATCAAAACAACACTGAAATTCCACCTCATCCCAGTAAGAAATCTAATAACAACAGATGGCTGGGAAGGTGGCTCAGTGGTAAAGTGCTTGCCTTGCATGCGTGAGGCCCTGGGTTTGATTCCTCAGCACCCATAAGCAAAAAAACAAGCCGGAAGTGGTGCTGTGGTTCAAGTGGTAGAGCACTAGCCTTGAGCTGAAGAGCTGAGGGGCAGCGCCCAGGCTCAGAGTTCAGGCCCACGACCGGACCCAAAATAAAATAATAGCAGATGCTGGAGGGGATGTGGCCAAAAGAAAACATTTCTACACTGTTGGTGTGAGTGTAAGCTTGTTTGACCACTCTGGAAAGCAGTATGAAGGTTGCTCAAAAGACTAAACATAGAGCTCCCCTACAACCCAGCAATCCTACTTCTGGGCATTTACTCAAATGACCAGAAACAAGGCAACACTAAAGCTACCAGCACAACTATGTTTATCACAGCATTATTTACCATAGCTAAGATATGGAACCAACCCAGAAGCTCCTCAGTAGATGAATAGGTCAAGAAAATGTGGTATATACATATACATTTTCTATATACACACACACACACACACGCACACACACACACACACATATATATATATATATATATATATATATATATATATATATATATATATATATATACATACAGTGATATTCTATGTTTCCATCTGAAAGAATAACATCCACCCCATTTGTAAGGAAATGGAAGGACTTGGAAAGAATCATAGTAAGTGAAATAGCCAAACTCAAAGAAACACAGGTCCCATGGTTTCCCTTATTTGTAATAATTAGTACACTTCTAGGATAATCTTATCAGATGAGCAGAATAGCTCAATAGCTATGTACACATAGCCATATAAGATGATGCTAAGCGAGATGAACTCCAAGACATGGACACAAGAGTTTTTTGTTGTTGTTTTTAATGTGACTTCTATTTTCTTTGTTTTTTTTCCTCCTATGGTTTATTTCTGTTGTCATGGTATTTGATTTTGGTACCCTGGGTATTATATATACACGTTTATCTGAATTAGGGAAGAGAAGGGAAGGGGAATAACAAAATGGTGAGACAAAGGGGAACCAACGAAAAAGCGATATTCACAAGACAATATGTTGGAAATGATCTGTACAAGTTGGGGGAGGGGATGGTGGAGGGAAAGAAAGAGAAAAATGAGGGAGGTGGTAACAAGTTAGATAAGAAATGTACTCACTATCTTACTTATGTAACTGTAATCCCTCTGTACATTACCTTGACAATAAAATTAAAATAAAAAAATGCATCTTTGAGGCTTCATTGTTGATACAAATAATATGTACTCGAAGCACTTAAACATTTATTTGTAGGCCACAGAGTTTCCCTTTTTTTGCTTGGCTATGCAAAATAAATAAAAATCAAAGCCCACAGAACAATCTATTTAGGTATTAGACACTCCAGGGAAGATTCCAATGGCCTAACTCATCTAAACCACTAATGAATAGTTTAATCAAATGAATAGCAAGAAGCTTTGTTGAGGGAGAGGGCAGAAGGAGGAGGGAGGACAGAAAAATGGAGAGTAGGAGCAGATGAATTCAATGTGCATATGTGAAAATGGAAGTGCGTAGCTTGAGGGTATGGGATGTGGAGAGACAGGGGAGCATGCTGGTAGGGGTGACATAGATCACGATGCCTTGCACTCATCATCTGACCGGTTGAGTTGAAATCACTTTGCCACGCCTGTCAAGGTCATTTCATTTTCAGTCATGTTGCTTGTAATAGTTACACAGGAAAATCTGACAGCTTTCTGGTATTCCACTGGAGCCACAAGCAAAAAGAATGGGTGCTCCCTGGTGTCCCTGTGCCTTTCCAAAGGAAGTAGCCAAATTCAAAGTCACACGGAGATTTTACGGAGTTTCCCCCTCCTATTTCCCAGAAAAGAGGGGCTTTCAGAAATCACATTCCACATATTCAAACTGTAGACCAGAGGAACCAACTTACGTTCCAATACTCGGTAGTAACTTAAGAAATTCCCAAAGATATAGCAGCCACAACTTAAGCAAGCTACACTCTTTGGTTTGCCTGAACTGTAAAACAGTGAAGTGTCCTGGGGCTGAAGATGGGCAAAAATAAGCCATGAAAGATTTGGGAGATCCAAACCCTCTGTATCTGAAGGTGATGAGACCAGTGATACCAAGAATCAATCCAAGTCACTGATTGGGTAGTCCAGTGGGCCCACAATGAGAAGCATGAATAACCATGAGAAACAAGTTAGGTGTGAGAAAGACAGGAGAAAAGCCACAAAGCCAAGTAACGTGATTAGATCTCAACATAATGTCTACTCTAAAAACCAAGCTGTGTCCTTTCCTTCCCAGCATGAAACATGAAATTAATTCTACTGAGGTTGGAGAAGTTGGGCTTTGGTCTGGGACACACAGGCACATTAGGAAAGTAGAAGGATCGATAAGCATTTACATGTTAAGTGTAAGAATGTATGGTGCAGGGCGCTGCTGGCTCACACCTGTAATCCTAGATATTCAGAAGGCTGAGATCTGAGGATCGCAGTTCAAAGGCAGCGGGCAGGAAAGTCCATGAAACTCTTAATCTCCAATAAACCACCAGAAAACCAGAAGTGGTGTTGTGGCTCAAGTGGTAGAGTGTTAGCCTTGAGCTGAACTGCTGAGGGATAGCACCCAAGCCCAGAGTGCAAGCCCCATGACCAACAACAACAAAAAATGTATGCCTCTCTCTCCATGTGCTCTCCATAGCATTCTGCTCACCTCCTTCACAGTACAGCTAAGATTTGACCCCTCACACTGGAACCACAGGAATCGTGCCTAAGAACTTGGGCCAGATCAAGTAAAATGCAAAAAGTAAGGAAGGAAGGAAGGCTGGAAAGAAGGAAGAAAAGAAGGGAGGGAGGAAGACTCTCACAGCAGAGGTTCCTGGACAGAAAAGATGATCTGGAAATCCTACAATGACATGTACAGCCAGTGAGACCAGTCTACAAGTTTCCATTCATATCTTTTTTCTTTTTTTTTGGTATTCTGAGAATACCATACAGAGGAGTTACAATTACATGGGCAAGATAAAGAGTACATTTCTTATCAAGCATTGTTGCCTCCTCTTTGTCCATTCAGATCTTTTAGCATATTTTTAATCTTCCATCAAGATCACTAGGCATTGAGAAAAGCCTCAGATACAAAATGGAGAAACTGAATAGTTAAGTACTGCAAGTGGAAGAAAAAAATAATAATGACAGGAAAAAGACTGTATTGGAAAACACAGCCACAAGTACAATGAACTCCTGGAAACTCACAGTATTCTAGGAGTGAAAGACCTGTTAGAAGAGATGGAATGCAGAGAAGGTAGAGAGAAATGGCTGGAAAAGGAACAGCAAAGCAAAGCCAACGTCTGAAAAAAGAAGCATTCGAAAACAGCAGAACAAGAAAAATAGAGTAATCACATGTGGAATAATAACAATTCATAAATCCAATTCTGAATATATCGTGAATACCTATTTAGTGAATTCCTAATATGAACATTGTTGAAAGCTCTACATGTCTAACATTCAGATAGAAAGCATTATATTAGAGACAAGCTTCAGGTTGAGATCTCTGTGAAGGGACTGTCAGAATTGAATCCAGGAGTCAGATAACCATATTTTCTATAGCTCCATCTCTACTTCCAGTCAATCCTCTCACCTTTTTGGGACAGATGAATTTAGAGAATCAGATTAGCAGAACTCTACTTACCAGTAGAGAAACCAGCGGACAGCAGAATTATTAGTCTGTTTCCATTTCTCTGAGTATAGGGTCAAATTTTGTACTCATACTGTTCATTATTACAGTGGCATAAAATTCACAATGAAAAAATCAGTATTCCTAGGGGAGGATCTTGCTGGAAACTTGATATCTTACCTGGGTGAATCCATTAAATGAACCACCAGGAGCCTGAACAGAAATGGAAAATGAAGTGCATTACTTTTTTTCTATCACTTCGATAGGATTATGTGAATATCCATTAGACAATTTGGAGAGTACTGACTACCAGACTTCAAAATAATACAAAAGGTTGTTGTGCATGAATGCAATTAGGAAATGCAAAAGGCCATGCTGTATTATTTTAAATAGGCTGACAAAAAAAGAAATGTCAATTTTACAATTATTGCTAATCCAATTGATTTTCTCATTAATGAGAAGGACGGTTCCAGAGAAAAGCCATGAGAAGCTAACAGCTCTCTATTCAGGCTCTTGGTAAATGTTAGAAAAAGCTTTCCCAATATTTCTATAATCTGTCATCTTGGTGATTCATAGCAGTTTCAGATGGCTGATGAGAACATTTCATATGTTCTTAATGCAGTGGCAAACTTTAGAACCACTACATAGGTCCGTATTGTTTGTAGTTTAGCACATTTTTAGCTTGAACTCAAGACCTCCAGTTTGCTACGCTGGTGCTCTACCACACAGCCATACCTCCAACCCTGAGGTTTTTTTAAAAAAAATATTTGTTAAAGTTCTTTTCAGAATAACACTTCATGAGATTTTTTTTGCCTGGTCTTTCTTCAAACCATGAGCCTACCATGTACAGCCTCCCAAGTAGCTAAGATTACAGGCATGAGCAATCAGCACCAGGTTTCCTAACCATTTGGGAGCTTTGGTGGGATTCTTTTTGTCAACCTATTTGCATTTGGGTTGCACAGATTTCGAGAGGTATGATAATCTGCCAAGGAGATCAACGGAATGGATAATGAAGGAGGTGAGAGACACTAGGAAAAACGGAACCTACAGAAGTCTCTGGCCAGTATAGGCTACATATTGGGGTAGGTACCTCGTCTTTATCAGCTTCTATTTCTTGATACAACAATCCATATCTCTGGTTAGCAATTTCATCTTCAGATAACTCTGAGTTGTTGGTGTCAATGTCTCGAGAGCTATCAGAACTCTCAGTACTAGTGTTCCAGAAGGTTCCCAGAGCCAATGGTCTACTTATCTCTAGGCTTTGCTCTGAGCAGTTAGTAATGGCTTGCTCTTCCTGGATACCTGTTAGTAAGTCCACCTCCAGTCCTTTCTGACTTCCAACATCTAAATGTGCACAGGAATGATCAAAGCCTTCCCCATCTCTGAGAGGCCAGCAGTGATTAGAATCTAGACAACTGGCAAATCCACTGGCTTGACCATCTGGAATACCAGAGTATCCTGATGTGCCCATATTACCCATGACTAAATTCAGGTTTGGCTGGCTGATTTGATCTGCAATTACTCCCTGTGTCTGTGCAATTTCTGGCATGTTAACAGTCTGACTACCATTATCAGTAACTGTACTTTCCAACCACTCTTTGAAGGAGTTTCCTCCCTCATGTGAGCACTGATGTCCTCTGCTGCCATTAGTTTCCAGAGAACAATTAAAGTCCGTCTTAGACTCGACTGCCTCTGCATGTTTCATTGATGCAAAGATGGCCTGATTTTCATCTTGGGCAGCTTCACAGGCACTTAACACAATGTCACACTGAATTTCTTCAGCTTCAGTACTGCCCTGTGCTGAGTGACATTCTAAAGCATGGTTGGCAGGGTCAATTACATTTTTCTTTATGTCTTTTCTAGGTAAATCCCATCCCCCAGGACTGGCATCTTCCATATTAGATACAGAGTCAGCCTGGAGAGAAGGATTCAACACATCTACGTAATTGTCAGGTTGAGTTCCAGAGCCTTCCATATTTTTACAACCATTAATTACTTGAACTCCATCATGTAGCCCTTGGACTCCATCACTACGCTTACCTACCACAGCTACACTTTCTATATCGTCTTTTTCTAATAGATCAGCTTCCTCCAAGTAATTTTCATGGGTTTCCATATTTTGCTTACATCCTACTCTTAGATCATTAATTTCACTAGCATCCTGGTGTTGCTTTGTGACTGCTTTAAGACCAACCAGTGTCCTGTTCTCTATATGTCCATACATTTCCTCTGCAAATTCCTTAGTTCCCTCTAGTGCCTGGACATCCATTTCTCTAGCATCTACCTTTTGACCCGTCTCCATATATGCCCACACAGAATCTTCCATCTTCTGCTTCTCTCCTTCTTTGTCTGACCTTTCAGTATCTTCATGGCCTTCTTTAGGCAGCCCAGCAGTGTTCACAGCTGGAACCTCTGAGTCACATGGTTGGTTTATCTCCAGACAAGTAGTAATGGCATCTCCAGGCTCAGGCATGGGCTTTGGGGACTGCTGTTCATTTCCACCTGTAAGGCCTGGCTCTAGGACACACTCGCTCTGTTCGGCTACAGTGGACCCATCAGTGGAAGAAAACATTCTGGTGGAAAATCTGTCTTGTTGAGCTTCAGACACACATGCAAAGTCTTCTTGAGACTCACTCAGGGTCATTTCCTGGCTGACACTCTCTGTACTATCATCAGGGCCCCAAGTAAATGCACCTATATCAATTTGAGATCTTTGAATTTCTTCGGCCAACCCACTGTCTGGAGTTTCCTCCATGATCAGGTTACACAGAGAAAGACTTTTTGAAGAGTCAGTCTTTAAAATATGCAGAAAAGCAAAGGAAAAAAAAATAAGATGAATAGACCATGGCAAGTTCTGATGAGAAAACACAAAGCTCTTTAGTAGGATAACACCAGTTAAACAATGTTAGAAAGCTTTTAAATTAATTGGCTAAATCTATGACTAGCAACATAGTAGGGGAAAAGTTCAATCTAGAATAAACATGTATGTAATGCATATTAAATATTTTAAAAATCCAGAGTTTTCTGGGTATTTACCTACCGGTTGTGCCAAATCAGTGCTTGTCTGTATGGGTTTTAAAAAGAAGAATAATTATAAGGCAAGGAAGGAAAATTCACTAGCAGATTAAAATCTCATATTATCCAGAGAGAACATTCCACTAAAATCCAGGGCTTTTTACTTGTTTGAGAGTATATGTTGCAATGTATTTGTGATGGGAATTCTTTTATTACTTAAGACTACTATGGAGAAATCATAATTGAAACACAAAAGAAAACCTCTGCCATTTTCTAGCAGCAGAAAGGATGTTTTATGGCTACTATACATATTCTGCTCTAGCAGAGTATGAAATGCTTAGTCAAATAAGCAAGCAAGTCTGAGAATAAATACTAAAATGACAGCAAACCTCTACAGGTACAGCAATTACCCAATATCATATGCTTTAACCTGACATAGCCTCAGAAAGACAAACTACAAAGAAAAATCTCCCCCAACTCATCCTTCACTTGGATTCTGAATCTGAGGTAGGGACATGAATGAAGGAAACATCTGATATTAACCACTCTGTCTTGAGAATTATCTTTCCTCAACCTGGGAGCCATTTTCTACATGCAAGCAAAATCCTTTGGTTGGTTGGGAAGAGTGAAAGCAATGAATAATTACGTCTAGAACGTCATCATTTAATTATTAATTATTCTTGATATTCCTAGTAGGCTTGTCTTCTAAAGCAGCCAGAAACTCCTTCTAGATAATTCCTTTACCCACATCACACCTTCTCCAGCGAGGAAAGACAAATACATTACAGCTCCAACTTAAGATAGGAAATCCAAAAATTAAAAATAAATAGCATTACTCTTTAGACATTAAGAAAAAAGCCAGAGTTGAGGCTAGAATTCAAATGCCCTGAATGCCAATTCATTCATCTCTTTTTGAGAGAATACATGAGTGAAATAAGTTCACTATAAAAGACAACTTAGTCATAGGTGGTTTTAAAGAACACTATTAGCTCTTCCCTTGAAAACTGTCTTGATATTTCAAGGTTCTCAAAAAATGGAGTTTGACCATGATTCTGCAGAAGAGAAAAGGGTAACCCTTTTGTCTTTAAGGGGAGAAAGTAACAAATCACCTCAAAAGATGCAGCCACACTGGGTACTGGTGACTCATACCTATTAATCCTAGCTACTCAAGAGGCTGAGATCTGAAGATGGAGATTCAGAACAAGTCTGGGCAGGAAAGCCCAATTAACTAACAAAAAAGCTGAAAAGTAGAACTGTAGCTTAAGTGTTAGAGTGCTAGCCTTGAGCAGGAAGCTCAGGGGCAGTGCCCAGGCCCTGAGTTCAAGCCCCAGAACCAGTACCAAAGGGAGGGGGGGACTCATTAACAAAGGAAAATGCATAAATTCAAGTAAGGTTCTTAAGACCACACACCCATAACTTAGTTCTAAGACAAAAGCCCTACCTCTAAGAAATAGCAACAGCCTTCCCAATTTCTCCATGATTATGTAATACCACACATCTCTATTCACATCTTCTACTCAACTCTACATTCTAGAAATACTTGTCAGCTTAACAGAATGAATAACATGGATAATAATATCTTTTATTGCTATGTGCTACATATTGGGCTACAAATATCTCATTTAATCTCTACACAATCCACTGCCATCACCTTTATTCTATAGATAAGAAAAACTGAGGCTTAGAGAATTTTAGAAATTGTTCCAAGTCCCAACATTAATACTATTCAAGTCTGGACTTAAATCCAGCTTGTTATTATACAAGCTTTACTGCATGTAATAATGAAATAATAGTTAGAATCATTTGCCATTGTTCTCATCCACACTTGTTTCATTCTATTGAAAAGCAACCACACAGGTACCTGCCCATCCCTACAGTCACCACCACCTCACAGGTAGAAGCAAAGGTCACAATGCCACAGTCTTGACCCCTAGTACACTTTTCCCTACCAAGATCTTGAGGTTGTGGAAATGAGGGGATTCGATTATCATTAGCATTCAATTATCTTCTTTCCTTCATAAGGGAAATAAAACATAATGAGGCCTCCACATTTTTCCAGCTCAAGATACATGTGATTAGAGCTCTTACCGTCCACAAGTCCCAGGGCAATGTCTGAAAAGAAAAGGAACAAAAATATTATTATTATATAAATATCCCAAATGTGGGAGAAAAATACATTGGTGGTGATAAATATAAGGAGGTGAGAAATGGCTTGATAGCAAAAGTATTTTTAAGCATTCAATACAGCACCATTCTATAGAACCTGCACCACTGATGGAAATTTATGTGTTATCTAATCTGATAGATACTTCTAGTTTAACAGAACCAAAAGTTTGTTTATTATATATATGCAATTTTTATAATCTTATAATAAGTAGTTGTACTCTTTGTAACTCTGGAGGGTCAAAGACATTTGAACAGCTTCATGTAAAGTACAGTTCAGCACTTCAGATTGTGAGTACAGTGCTTCAATTGGTGCACAAAGCTAGCGCATACCACATTGGAAAGCACAGGTGTCACCCATCTGTCTTGTGTTCCATAAACAGGAGACAACCTTACATCTGAAATACATCCCACATCTAAAAAGGGGTTAATTTGAATACATCATTAAAACAGGAAGATAACCATATCTTAAGAGTGTATCACCCCATGGAGGAGAGCGTATTTTAATCATGTGACTATCCCTGCCCCTCATCACATTTGAGAGGACCAGTTTGATGGTAAATGAATCCCCAAAAGTGGTTCGTCTGAGTGTTGAGTTACAAAGCATGCAGTTCAATTAATTGGTAATCACACCCATTAGCAGGGTGCCCATTAAGACATATGAACAAATTACACTTGCTACAAGGATTTTCATTATCAAGCTTATTGGTCCACAGGAAGGAACCCAAATGGTGCAAACGACCTCCACTGTGAGTGGGAACAGTGGGATAGATCTCCCTTTCTTCTTTCTTCTGAGACTGAGAATTAAATTCATATCCCTTTAATGTGCTTGTTTTTGTGACAGACCCCCATCTGCTAACTTGTTTTGCATCACTGGAGCCCAGCACTGCCATTGTAAATACTGACTCTTCCAGTGGCGAGGACAGATGTCTTGTTGAGACTCTGTATCACAGAAAGTGGGACCCCTGGTTATCATGGGTACTCCTCCCACCCTTACCTCTTGATCTGAGCCTATCCTAAATTTCCTCAGCTGTTCACTCTACATCTCTGTGCAGATTGGTTTGTCTCATGCTTAGTAAACTCTCAGAGAATATCAAAGATGGAAAGGCATGCACTTCTGTGTACATAAACTACTTCTGCATTTAACCTGCATTTTCTCATTATCCACAGAGTTTCTATTCTCTTGATCCACAGAACCTTAAGAACTACAGATAATACTTTGGACAATTGGTTTTGTACATATATATGTCCTCGCATATGTTTTCATATATGTTTATAATTTACATCTAACTTCCACATAAAAAACACGTGAGCTAGAGTCTGACTTCTTTCACCTAACCTAATTTTTTCCACAATTCTCCATTTCCCTGCAAATGACATAGTATTATTCTGACGACTGAGTAACATTCCATGTATAGATATATCACAGTTTCTTGATTCACTTATTGCTTACAGGGCATCTGGGCTGTTTCCATAACTTGTATCTGGTGAATTCAGTCATTATTGTCCATGTACAAAAGTGAAAATGGAGTCAGGTAACTTGAGGAGGTGGGTGGGGTTGGGAGAGGTGAGGGAGAAGGATGGAAGGGGTGACATTGATCAAGATATATTGTACTCATACACTGACATGTTGGTTGAAACTGCCTTTGTGCAACTACTTAGAGAGTTAACAAAATAAAAGCTTAGAGTACACATGAGTGTAGGTCTCTGCAGGATGCAGACAACACAGCAGTTTCTCCAAGGGAAGGCAGCAATGTGGAATTTTGGGCTGATCACTCTTCCGGATGATGAAAGGAGGTGAGAGCTCATATGAACACTGTGAACATCACAAGATCAGATGTTCTACTGACAGCAAGAAGAGATCAAGGGCAACAAGAGGTAAGCAATGGGTAAAGATCATTGTGAGTGAAGAAAAGAACCACAGACTATAACAGCACTGTGCTATTGGTCCCTCAGCTCAGACTTTATCCTCAATGAAGAAGGAGAGAGGGGAGTGGAGATAAGCCATGGGTGACTTCCTTACACCCACTGGAGGCCAAAGGAATTTACTAGATGGCTCCAAAGAAAATCCACACAGTCCAAAGAGTTTGCCCTGATGGCAGCAAGGTACTCCCCATAGTAGTACAAAAACTGTTGAAGACATTAATCAAAATTATTTTTTAATTCTGCAAGAATCTTTAAGCCAAGTTCAGTGGTGCATACCTATAGTCTCAGCCACTAAGAGGTTGAAGTGGGGGGAGTGGTCCATGTTGGAAAAAAAAAAGATGAATCATTTAATTTTAAGTCCACACAAAGTCCCACCATTTGTGGATCGATTTAATCATGAGTTGATATAAAAGTCATTTCTCTCTTGGTTCAAATTTCCACACAGAAAAATGTGATGGACTTTTAGTCACTCTTTTCAGAATCCACCACAGGAATTTTTCTTCTCCCATGAGAGTAAAGAACTATGAAGGGATGGGGCTGGGAAGATGACTCAGTGGTAGAGCGCTTGCCTTGCATGCCTGAGGCCCTGGGTTCGATTCCTCAGCACCACATAAGCAAAAAAGAAAAAAGAAAAAAAGCCGGAGGTGGCACTGTAGCTCAAGTGGTAGAACACTAGCCTTGAGCTGAAGAGCTGAGGGACAGCGCCCAGGCCCAGAGTTCAGGCCCCACGACCGGACCCAAAAAAAAAAAAAAAAAAGAACTATGAAGGGTAAGCAGATGGATTCTTTTGTCTGTCTGCTTCTGCACTGACACAGCTCTGGGAAGGACTCACGCTGAGCTACTCAGACACTCACCGCCCACATTTCATTACCACCCAGGGACATCTCATACTTGCTGACAAAGACCACTTTTCTACCTTCCAAAATATGATTTAGAGAATAATTCAATGACTTGTAAGAAAAGCTTCCCTAAAATAGATTTCTGCAACCAGATATATTTGGGAACTTGAATTAAACAATCTAAACAGTTATTTTAAAAAAATAATTGTATGAATTTACAGGGCCTCTCTCTACTAGTCTAATATACATAGGCATCTTCTAAGAGAGTAGAAAGATAATTTCCTGAGCCATTCATCTAAGAGATCAATTACTTTTATAAAGCTTTAGTACTAGAGACAGACTTCCTGAATTACTGTGACTGCTGACATATTAGCCTTGTTCGTATTTACAACAGAGAGGCTTTTAGAAACCCAATCACCTTCTAGAACAAAGCATGGGTTATACTCAGCATCATGTTCTGGAGATACTTAGGTTCTATTTGATCAGATTTAGTCATCACACAAGGGTTTACTCTGAAGTACAAAAAAGACTTCAAGTTCAGGAAATTGAGATAGGCCTCAATTTCTTTTTTTGGGGGGGGTGTTATTGTGAAAATACTGTACAGAGGGGTTACAATTACATGGGCAAGATAATGAGTACATTTCTTATCAAGCATTGTAGCCTCTTCCTTTGTTTCCCCTTCCCATCCCATCCACCTCCCACCTCCCCACCCAACCCTTCCCCCACCCCACCAAAGTTGTAAAGTTCGTTTTCGACATAACGACTTGTACATCTCAATGTTGCAATGGGTCCACCTGTATCCCTATTTAAACAATTTGTTTTTTCCCTTCCCCTCCACAAATTATAACAACATCAAATACAGTGAAAGCAGGGGTTATACCGTGGGGAAGGGACAAACAAAGCAACAAAGAACTAATCTTATAAATGTGTTAGAAACAATCACATGAAAGAAAAAAACATTTGAATACATATCTTAGGGTTCATTTCCCTAACATCAAATTAATTGACTTTTCTGCTTGACTCAGACTAGTTATTGCAAATAAGGGAAACCATGAGACCTATGTTTCTTTGGGCCTGGATTACTTCACTTAATATAGTTTTTTCCAAGTCTTTCCATTTCCTAACAAATGGGGCAATGTCATTCTTTCTGATGGAGGATAGGCCTCAATTTCTAAGTGGAGTTTTACACTATGCTTTCATTAATTTAATATGTAACAAATTCTGGCATATTTAGATTTTTTTCCCCTTGAGTCAAATGTATGTTCCCTAAAAACACCAAAATTACCAGCCTAAATTTTGTATTAACATCTTCCCATTATTGCAGACAACTGTAAAAGGTTTTTCCAGGAGAATCAGTAGAGCCACTACCACTACTATGCCTGTGACACAGGATCTTATTTCAATAATTAATAGAAGAGGAGAAAAGATGAGAGTAGAGACACACTGAGCCAGGGAAAGCTTGGTAAGCAGGGGCAGCTCCATATCTAAGTAAGTATCACAGGAGAGGCTGTTCTGCAAGGTGTAGGACAAGCAGAATAACCTCAAGTTCAGAGCCATCAAGACTGAAAAAGATTTCTGTTGGGGTACAATCTCATGGTTAATTCAAGCATGTCTTAAATTGTAAAGTATAAAGGAGAAAATGAGGGGGGGAAAACAGGAAGAAGAATAAACCTAAAGACAAAAGAAGAAACTTTATTTTAGGCAGCCATAAGATGAACTATTCAACCGTAGATATCTTTGCGAGTAAACAGGAGTCTTGGTAATCCACCTGCAAATGGTGATTCCAGGGCAAACAGGAATGCAAGGTGTGGCACTTCTGTGGGAACAGACAGCTAATGGCATCAGAATCCTTACTATTGATTAATATTCTTCCTGCTCCTCCTTCCTATGAGGAACTATTTATTAACCAAAAAGAAAAGCAGGTGAGTGTTATTTGAAAGGGATTAAGGATCATTGTCCACCTTCTTGAACTTAATGGTGTATAAAATGTCTTCCCAAATTATGCAAAAATCAACATGATACCTGAGACATGGGTGAGTGGGTCACTCCAGCAGAACCAGTGGGTGTCACCTCAGGCTTGAAGGGATCAAAGTCTAGATCCAGCAGAGTCTCCTCCTTCTTTACCTCTGTGACTTCATTCTGTTAAACACAGATAAACAAACCATGCATTAGGTAGGCCATGATATGACAATGCATGAGATCACCCATGTGGAATTTCTCTAATATCACTGTTTGATATCCTCAAACATGCTCTCCAAATACTACAGCACAGTGAAAAGAATTGAATTAGGGTGAGTTTACCTTCTGATGGTTTACACACATACTCACAAAGTCACTTAGATAAAAGTGATGAGTGAGATGACTAACTGATAAAATATAGTCTAAATCCCCCTGGAACATGTCCAGGACATTTTTTCTATCTTTGTTCTGTTCTAATTCCATCTAACAAGGCACACTTCAAAGAGAAACCTTAATGTCACCCAAAAGGCCCCCAATCTCAAAAGCAAACCTGGGCAAAAAAAAAAAAAAAACAGGCACAAAAACAGGCCCAAGGACCAATGGAACAAAATAGAAGACTCAGAAATAAACCCACATACCTACCTACAGCTATCTAATATTTGATCATGAAGCCAAAAACATAGGCCAGAAAAAAAGAGCCTCTTCAATAAATGCTGCTGGAAAAACTGGATATCCACATGCAGAAAGCTGAAACTGGATCCCTATCTGTCACTCTGCACTAAAGTCAACTCAAAATTGTTCAAAGACCTCAATGTAAGTTAAGACCTGAAACCATGAAACTGCTACAGGAATGAATAGAAACATTAGAACTTCTTGGCAAAAACGGGAATTTTCTGAACGAAGTTCCAGGGGCCCAGCAAACCAAAGAAAGAAATGGGATTATATCAAACAAAGATTCTACATGGAAAAAGTCATAGTTAACAAACTAAAGACACAGCCTACAGAATGGAAGAACTCGACCAGCTATATAATAGATAGTGGCTGAACACTGACAATGTACACAGAACTCAGCAAACTAAACCCTCAAACCAATAATCCAATTAACAAATGGACAAATGAACCAAACAGACTCCTCTCAGCAGAAGTAAAAATGGCCAATCAACCTATGAAGAAATGTTCAACATCCCTGACCATAAAAGCAATGTAAATTAAAACAGCAATGATCTCTCCCCAGTTAGAATGGTCATCATCAAGAATACAAACAACAGATGCTGGTGCAAATGTGAGGGAAAAGGAACCCTAATATACTGCTAGAGAGTATGTAAACATGTTCAACCACTCTAAAAAGCAACTGGGAGATTCCTCAAAAAAACTAAACATAGAACTACCCTATGATCCAGCAATATCAGTCTTGGACATTTAGTAAAAAAAAAAAATTACAAATCAAGATACAGTAAAGTCCTTGTACAATGCTTATTGTTGAACTATTCACTATAGCCAAGGTATAGAATCAGCCCAAGTGCCCCTCAGTGGGCAAACAGATCAAGAAAATGTGGTGTATATATACACATTGGAATATTATTCATCCATTAAGAATGATATTATATAATTTGCAAACAAATGGATGGGCCTGGAAAAAATTATGTTAGATGAAATCAGGCCCAGGGAGACAAATAATTAATGCTTTTGCTCATATGTGGACACTAGAACTAAGGTAAATGTACAAGTAGATACATATGAGGTCATATACAAGTATACCCAAATGTATTTACTGAAGTATGGTATTTGCAGGAGAGAATTCCTTAGAAAAACAAACTCACAGTCCAACAAAATGATTACCAGGAAATTGGCAGATGAAAGGTGGCAGGGGAAGGGGCAAGGGCATGGGGTAGCGGAATAAGAAGGGGGAATTCAGTCATAACATTGATCTGTATCCTATGAAACTAAGAACACTGAGGAGAGGTGAAGGGGTTGAGAGAGTGGAGGAGAATCATGAAGCGGTGACATCAATCAAGATACATTGTACTTATAGACTGATTTGTTGAATGGTAACTCCATTGTACAACTACTTAAAGATAATAAAATTGGGATTTTTTATGAAGCAAAACAAAGTCCAAACAACAACAACAAAAATGAAACAGATAAGCAAGATAACCCTGCTGCTGTCCAGCCAATCCATCTTCCTATGAGAAGGCAAAGACATTTCCCAAAGAAAATTCTGTGCTCTTGTTAAGGTTTGAGCCATTGGAGGGCTCTGTGGGACTGACAGATTGCTGTCTCAGTCTAGATAGATTCTGTCCATGTGGACAGGATCCCTGCTGTGATGACAGGGGTCACAGGTCAAGGGGCACCAAGCCACGGTAGACTGGAGATGTGTTACTCATTACATTTGGTCGTCTGGGCAGGGTTAGCACAATTGCTTTTCTTCCTCATTAAACACCTATTAAAAATAGCAAACTGGAAACATAAACTGATCTTGTTAATGTAAGATGCGTTATTCAGGAAAAAAATTAAAACAATATTTTGATAGATCATTAGATATTAATGTACCTGGAGAAAAACCTTCTTATATACCCCTACTCTCTCTAGTTTTCAATGTTTCTTTGTAGTTAAGATCGCACTTTCTCCAAGGGATGCTATTTTATTTCTTTTATCATCCATCTGTGCCCTGTAAGACACATTATTATGACACATTTTGATGTGCAAGCCAATCACTATATTGAAAGCACATACATAAAATGTGTCTGGGTCCAGTAGTCCCAAATATGGGACATATTAAGTCACACAATTGTCAATGAGGCAGTGATAAAGGGTCAGAACACACATTTCCATGGAAGAAATCTGCTTGTTCATGGAGGAACATGTTCAATGCTCATAGGTTTGTATCACATGGCTTAGAAAAATGTTTGCACCATAGGGCGGGGGGCGGGGGACCCAGCACCAGCTTCAGATGGGCAATGTGGTCTCCTTAGACATGGAAATTAACTGACCCTATATATGCTGGATCAGGAACTCTGCCACCCAGGCTGAAATACCACATAAGGTCTACTTATATCCACAGAGGAACCAACAACTGGAGAAACAACCAACACCCTTCAGGAAGAGGTGGCATTGGTCTATTTTTAAATAAACCTAGATAGTCTCACTCAGGAACCTCAACAGCAGATGGGAACATAAATCTGTCTCACTGCCCTCTCATGACAAAAGACAAGTGGTCATTAGTGATGAACTCAATTCCAACCACATCAGCTGGGCCCAGGTTGCTTCTCAGATTCAGAAGAATAACAGAATAACTACTCTCTTCTGCTCCCTCCTCTCCCTGCCACCCCACATTAAAAGAAAACAATACAAATAAATCACAACTTCCCAAGCATATCTTCCTAATAGTCTCTGGAGGGTAGCTATTTTGAATTCAGCTGGCAGAATAATGGACATGACACACAGACAAGCAGGTGATAAAAGGCATTGGCATGGAGGAACCCTGAAGAGCAACACAAAGCTGTAGTAGAGCCTGGATGAGGGGCTCCACAACCCAAATGTGACCACAGCCAGAGCTGGAGAATAGGGGCTTCTGTTTTGAAAGGATTCTTCTCCCTTCCCCCTACTCTTCAGTAATTCCATTACTCTGGCTCCACAGTACCAGCAAAAGTGAATGCTCCCAGTACACAGGAGCCTCTCCTAACATTTGATCCTCTATGTATACCCCGACGAAGGCTCCTTACCTAGAGGCCAACAAACTTCATATCAAAAGAAAGAACACTCAGAACCTATTCTTCAGAACTTCTAAGTGTCATGTTCCTGTCACTTGACTGTCCTTAGCTAAGTACACAAGTCCTTAGCTAAGTACACAAGTCCTTGCCTTTGATGGGGCTGAGAGGATGCCCTAGCAAAATCAACTGAGTGAGGGCTTTCTTAACTTAAAACACTCTCACTGTGGAAGTTCATATAGCATAAAAGAATATGAGGGTAGACAGTGGCAAAGACAATGGAAAGCAAAACTTGGAAATTAAAACTGATCCTAAAACTGGGTGAAGGTGGCTCATGCCTGTAATCCTAGCTACTCAGGAGGCTGAGATATGAGGATCATGGTTCAAAGCCATCCCTGGCTAGAAAGTCTGTGAGACTCTTATCTCCAATAAACCACCAGAAAACTGGAAGTGGTGCTGTGGCTCAGCTTTGAGCTGAAGAGCTGAGGGACAGCACCCAGGCCCAGAGTTCAAGCCCCACGACCAACAAAAAAAGAAAAAAGAAAGAAAAGAAAAAGAAAAAAAGAAAAAAGCTGATCCTAGCAGTTGAACAGAATAGCTCAACATCTATGTACATACATATAAGATGGTGCTAAGTGAAATGAACTCCAAGACATAGACACAAGAGGTTTTTAGTTGTTGTTGTTTTTAATATACTATGTGATTTCTTGTTTCTTTTGTATTTTCCCTCATATTATGGTTTATCCCCTATTGTCACTTAACTTGATGTTGGTACCCTGGGTATTTATATATGTTTATCTGAATTAGGGAAGGGCAGGGGAACAACAGAATGGTGAGACAAAGGATGAGGGGGAACCAATGCAGCAGCGATACGCACGAGACAGTATGTTGGAAATGATCTGTACAACTGGGGGGGGCCGGGGATTGGGGGAAGGGAAAGTAGGAGAAAAATGAGGGAGGGGTAACAAGTTCAACAAGAAATCTACTTACTACCTTACTTATGTAACTGTAACCCCTCTGTACATCATTTTTTTTAAAAACTGCCAACAATTGATATCAGGACTATCAGCAGGGGCTAGGTATGGTCATATAACTCTAAGACAGCCATCTCCACCAACACACCAACACACACTCTTCCTACACACTAAGAAATACACATTTCTTCCATCTCAAAGAATCTGCTAAATCACACTGCAAACTTGGAGCTTATGAAACACAATTCCCTATACAAATTACAGAAGGAAGAAAACCATTGCTCAAAACACAGTACCTTTCAATAAATGTTCTATGGGAACAAAAATCAGGATTCACTACCTCATCGCGCCCAAATTTTGGCTTTCTGAGTTTCTTGTTATCAATTTGCTGCCTCTGCCGTTCTCAATGAGACGTGACCATAACTAGTCACATTAAACACAATATTAATTAATCACAATATTCTTAGTGACAATGCTCAACAATTATATCCCACCACAATTGTGGCATACCACTTCTTATGCAGTGTGAATATTGTTTCTGAGTCTAAGAAGAGACACCATGGGCATCTCTGGGGACTTTCACTTTTAAGGAGAGCATTTTGGTGGCCCAGAACCAGGATTGGCTGTAATTACTCTACCACTTCACCAACACATCAATGAGTATCTTGAACATGTGCACACCTTCTATTATTTCTTTGGCATCAAAACAATAAAATACTAATCTTAAATATGTTTTTTTGAAAGGACAATAGAGTGACATAAAAAGATGCCCAATAAAGTAAAGGAGTAAAAGTCAAAACTACATCAAAATACCATCTGATTTTAAGAAACCAAATTGATCTAAACTGAGGGAAAAACAAAAGAACAAAAGAAAATAGACCCACATGTATTAACAGTTACATCACAGAGGGATGATTTAAGGGATTCTTAAAAAATTCTTCAGTTTGTGTCTTTCCGTATTTTTCTAGTTTTCTGCAATAATTATACTACTGTGGATGAAAAATAAGAGTATGTAAATACACCCTCCATTTTAGAATGTTTTCCACGTGCAAAGTAATTAAAATAATCCTCTCTCTCGGGGCTGGGAAGGTGGCTCAGTGGTAGAGCGCTTGCTTTGTATGCATGAGGCCCTGGTTTCAATTCCTCAGCACCACATAAGCAAAAAGAAAAAAGCCAGAAGTGGTGCTGTGGCTCAAGTGGTAGAGCGCTAGCCTTGAGCTGAAGAGCTGAGGGACAGCGCCCAGGCCCAGAGTTCAGGCCCCACGACCAGACCATAAATAAATAAATAAATAAATAAAATAATCCTCTCAGAATTATCATGTTGCCACTTTCTCTAAGGGCTGACCCCTGAGAATTACTCTACCAAGATACATAGAGTTCACTGGTATCCAGATCAACAGCAAGCCCTCACCTGGGAAGATCCCAGATCAACAGTAAGCCCTCACGTGGGAAGATCCCAGATCAACAGCAAGCCCTCACCTGGGAAGGTGTTGTCACATTGATCTCTGGAACGAAGTTGTCTTCAAAGAAATTGATGATGTTCTCCTGTTGCAGTTCCTTGGTTGGGGTGACCTTAGGCAGAGGTGGAACTGGAGGCCCTTTCCTTGTCTAGGGACCATCAAACACAAATAGTAAAGCAGTCAAAGATGTAGTTGAGAGGCAAAGAAATGTCACAGGAACAGAGCTATTGACAAACTGATCTCTAATCTAAACACAGACCTGTGTAGACATTTATACTTGATTCAGGTCAAGCATACTGTCTACCTGGAAGTTCCATGAGCACCAACCAATAGGCAATGATCCGATGGGACATACTCAGCCCACAAGATAAGTGTGTTCATCTGAGCTCAAGCCCCACACAAAGGCCTTTGGGGCCTCTGAGAGAGGCCAAACTGGTGTCCAACAAAGGCAATGTGTTCTGTGAAAATGATTTTATCACTTGGACAAAAAGAAAACATCAGAATTTCAAAACTAAAATCCTTCGAATAAGTTTAACCATAGGCAACTTCCATTTTACTTGCTACTCTAAGAGTTTGAGGTAAATCTATTAAGTATGTATTCTTACTATTTTCCTTAATTTCAACTATGTTCATGAAAATTTGAACTAGACTGCGAACTTCAAGTTTTCCAATAAGAAATCTTGGATTACCCCAAATAGGGAGAGTAAGAGTGGTAATTTTTCTCCATAGTTACCTTTGCCCGACTCTCACTGATTCTGCTCAGCCAAATGATGTATGCAGTTTTCTTGAGTGTTTATTTAAGTGCAATGCACTGTGGTGAATAGGGAAAAATGTACAAAATAACACATAAGTAAAACCACTCTTCTTGCCCTAAGTACAAACAAAAGCACTAGAAAAGCCATTTAGATGAGAAGGTAGGATAAAAAGGCACTTTGGAAGAGCAGACACAATTTCTTTTGGTGTTTTTTGTGTCAGTCCTGGGGCTTGAACTCAGGGCCTGGGGGTTGTCCCTGAGGTTTTTGGCTCAAGGCTAGTGCTCTACTTCTTGAACCATAGCCACGCTTTTGGCTTTTGGGTATTTAATTGGAGTTAAGAAGATCATGGTCTTTCCTGCCCAGACTGGCTTTGTACTATGATCTTCAGGTCTCAGCCTCCTCAGTAGCTAGGATTATAGGAATGAACCACCACTGCTTGGCTGTTTTTGTTTTTTTGTGGTTTAGAGCTGCTGGGGGTAGATCTCGGAACGTGTTGTATACAAAGCAAGTGCTCTAGCACTGTGCTGGACTCCCATCTATTAAGAGAGAACTTTGAGAGCCAGACATGGTTGAGTCGGGACACAAATTAGCCTGAGGAAGCTAAGGATGCCAGAAGTCCCAGAGATTCAACCACAGGTGTTAAGTAAAAACCAAGACCAATAGAAGGATTCCTCTGTGGTAACCTACCCCAAAGGAAAGGCCAACCTAAGCCCTGGACCACAGAATGTCCCCCAGGGGTCACCTCCCCTGCCAGCTGTCCCACTACCCCGCAGGTGTGCTCTCTTCCCACCTGTGAAGGTGACCTTGGCCGCACAGGCACAGGGGATGCAGGCGCCAGAGTGTGATTGGGGCCAGCGGTGGGGCTCGGCGGGGGCGAAGGCTCTTCTGGTGGTGTTGGCGTCTTTGCGATACGGAGAGGGCCCGAGTCACTGGGTAGACACAGGGGATTAAAAAGGCCTCACTCAATCAGGGGGTCTCCAACCTGCACCCTTCTGCAGGTTAACTCTGGTTATCAGAATCAGTGACAGTGAGGCCTAGTCCTTCTGTTATTCTTCCTGAGAGCCAGATCTCATGCATAGATCATCTGTTCTCCTCACCTAAACAAGGCACTACTGTCTCCACTAGACAGGTATGAAAATAGGAGCACAGAGAGGTTAAGGCAAAACCTTAAGGTGGATCTGAATTCAGCTCTTAGTCTTTCCACTTTAAAAGAAAGACTCCCCGACATGAAGCTAGACTCGGTGAACCAGTGTCAGTTTTGTTCTCCAAGAGAATCTTACAGAAAATCTATAGAAAATCCTACTGAGAAAACTGTGAATCTTGTATTCAAAGGCCCTTCAGGAAAGGGTGAATACATCTCTTGTAGATTTTATAACATCTTGAAATAAATTCCCTATTTCTTTCTTTCTCCGCCTTTTGAAACAATGACTCAAGCCAGACACCTTGCAGCATGTAAATCAACCTTGTGACAGATGAGGTCACTAATAAAATGTTCCTGAGAGCCACACACAGTCCCAGCACCAAACCAGACATGTGGGGACAGCTAAACAAGGAGACTAATATGGTACTAGGGACACATTCTACTCTCTAAGAATTTCTAAAGACTACAGCCAGAAGGAAGTGAGTCTGTACTGTCAATGAAGAGAACATAAACAGCAGCATGGTCTACACAGTCAAGGGTGAGGGATCTGTGTCCTCCAGAGAACAAATGCCCACATGATTGGGCCCCTCATCGGTAACCATGGCTTTGATGGGAAACACAGCCCTGGTCTACAGTCCAAGGGACTTCACAGAACTCACTCACCACCTTGCTCTGCAGAGGAATGGAGGGGGGAAAAATGAAAGGAATATTTGTTAAATGGCAGCCACCCTGCCTTCTCCTCACTCTAGTCAAGACTGAGCAACTCTGACATTTCTAGAGGCATATGCCCCTTCCTTTTCCAAGTAAAGGAGTGACTCTTCACAGCTTAAGGGGTTTAGTGTGACATTCTGAGATTCCTATTCTTTTTTCATTTGTTCCCAGCTTACTATTGAAATTACCATTTTGAAACAAACTCCACCCCTTTGGAGGTGTTACTGTTTGTACATTCATTTGTTCGTTTTAGTGGGACTGGCGCTTGAACTTCAGGCCCTGCATTTGCCAGGTAGGTGGCTCTACCACTTGAGCCACATCCCCAGCTCTTTGGAAAAATTCTTTGTTTTCTGAATTTCAAAAGAATGGGGTAAAACTTAATGTGTCCATGTAAATGCTCAGTACTTCCCCATCCCATCCTCCTCCCCCTCCACACTCATTTTAGGTTTCCTATTTTGTCACACATGCCCATTGGGTATTCTGCTATTTGTCCTCTGTTCCTCCCACTAGACACCCTTCCATTTTCATTTCAGCTTCTAATATCCTTTGCAGTAAACTGTGAGTTGTTTGAAAGTATACTCTATGGAAAGGTAGTCCTCTATTGACTGTACTTCAGTCAGCTAGCTTGTATCTCTAGGGCATGCCTCTCTGTGTGATTATGGAGCAGCTGGTATTTTAGCTATCAGTAGGAGGATCCCACTCTGGACTAACCTAGGCTAAAACATGAGACCAGATCCAAAAGCAAAAGGACTTGAGGGAAGGTACGTTGGTTTTTTTGTTTGCTTTGAACAGGGTCTCACCATCTTTTGCACATGGCTAGCCTTGCTAGCATCCTCCTCTGTAACTGGGATAACAGGTGTGCACCTCACCCCAGCTTATTGGCTGGGATGGGGTCTCACTAACTTTTGCTGAGGCTGGCCTCAAACTATGATCCTCCCAATCTGTGCCTCCTAACTAGCTGGGGTGACAGAGGTGAACCACCATGCCTAGACTTCATTGTTCTTTTAAGCCACATTCATGCCCTCAGAGAGAGGATGTGTTTACTGCCCACTTAGAAGAGCAACTGTAACAGGCTCAGCCAAACCAAAGAGTAGGAGGACCAGAACTGAAAAAAGTCCAGACACTGATATCCGTAACAGATCATATTAAGTAGATGCTAAGATGGCATGGCATGTGCTATGCCTATAGATGTTTCTATGAATGCAGTCATCTGAGTGTTTGCACTGTTTGATGCTATCACACGTACAGACTATCATGACTACACATTACTCTAGAAGCCATGCAGTCAAGTAGTTGTTTACAATAGATTTCAAAACTGAGCTCATTAACCAGAGAGGTTATTAGACTAAGTGAAAGAAAGCAAAACAAGTTAAGCTTGGAGGCATACAACTGGAAACAGAGGTTTCTGACTTCCAGCCTGAGGCTGTATGTATACCTGCATGGTCTAAGCACACATGCTTGAAAGATATGGCATGAAATGGATTCCAGAATCCTAAGAGAAAGCGGGTATGAAGCCAGACTCCTGGCAAGGTGAACCATCCACCTGCACACCATGCACTGTGGTCCTTGGGCCCTGGCTATTATTTGATTGGCCTGCTGCCAAATGGGAAAGCAATGAGGTAAGAACAAAGCTATGCTTGCAGATCAGTACCCAAAAAGAGGGAAGAGGGAGGTTAGGTGTCTCTCCTACTTCTGTCTTTTCTACTGAAGTAGCAAGTCAAAACCATCTATCATGATTACATGTGATTGCTCACAGGTCCCATGTAACTCAGAGAGAGGCAGTGAGCCAATTAAGCTGCAATAACAAAGATCAAAGACTGAATGCAATGTGAAAGGCCTAAACTAAGGTTGGTGTCAGCCTGTGGATGGAGTCTAGGTCTATTGGGCTGATTAAAGGATGAATAAAGTGGCCCAGGCCACTGCACAGACCCCAGCAAGCTCAGCAGGGGGCGTATCACATACAGGCGTGTGGGAGTGAACTGGCCTCTGGGAGTGAACAGGTGTGGGGCCTACCTGGGAGCTCCTTGAATGGTGAAGGCCTTGTCTGCGTGCTGGTCACCCAGTTTTGTCATCACTTCAAACAGTTTGTGGCAAAGCTGAGGGGACAGAAGCCACTGGTCTGTTATCCAAAGTTATCACCACGGTGCCCAACCCAGTACTCTTCCCAAAGGAAGCTAACGATGCCTTGAGAGGCGGGGCAGCCTCAATCCTTGGAATTCTGTATATGTTCTCAATGTACAATCCACAACAAAACTGCAGTAAGTTAAAAAGGAACTAGAAGATATCATTTGAAGACAGACATATTCATTCACAGAGTAGAAAGCACAACTCAAGTTTATTAGTGACTTTGTCTCTGCTAGAACTTGTCAAATTACTACTCTCTGGAACCGGGAAAATATCAATCAGTAACAGTGTTGCTGATATCTGACTATTTTGAGACCATTTTTTTTTTCCATCAGATTCATGCACGACTTGAAATTCTGACTTTACACACTGAATGGAAGTTGCAACTGTGAAGGTACACTCAGCCTTTTAAAAGATTTAGAAAACTAGCCAGGCACAGTGGCTTACACCTTTACGCCCAGCTACTCAGGAGGCTGAGATCTAAGGATCACGGTTCAAAGCCAGCTGAGGCAATAAGGTCTGTGAGACTCTGATCTCCAATTAACCGCCAAAAAATCCAGAAGCAGAACTAGGTTCAAGTGGTAGAGCGCTCGCCTTGAGCAAAAGAAGCTGAAGGAGAGCACCCAGGGCCTGTGTTCAAGCCCTAGGACCACAAACAACAATGCCAATGCAGAGAACTATGTGGCCACACTACAAAAAAAGAAAAAGAAAATCATTTTAAAAACAACTGTGCAAAAATGACAGAAAATAAATATAGGAGGCATCGGAAGCCAGGAGAATAGTTTGAAAAATGCTAAGCTACTACTTCATTTTCTTCCAAAGGAACATTCTTTTATATTTACTCCATTACTCACCACAGCAATTTCCTTATGGAATTTGGCTTCCAGGCTGGATACATTTTTGAAAGTATTGACATAAAATCCAACTCGTCTGCCATGTGGAAAGAAAACAGAGGATAGAGAGAGATAGTTAACAAAAATGGACTTTTGTGTGTGCTGGTACTAGAGCTTGAACTCATGTCTGCATGCTTTCACTCAAGGCTGGCACTCTTGACACTTGAGCCACAGGAGGTAAGAATCTCCAACTTTCCCTGCCCTGACTGGCTTTGGATCACAATCCTCGGATCTCAACCTCCTGAATAGTTAGGATTACACGCATAACCTTCCAGTGCCAGACTAAAAATACTATATTAAAATTAGGGTTACTTTCTTCCTTTGAACTCTGGTCCTGGATACTGTCCCTGAGCAATTTTTACACAAGGCTAATGCTCTACCACTTGAGCCATAGCTCCAATTCCAGCATTTTTATGCTTAATTGGAGATAAGAGTCTCATGAGCTTCCCTGTCGGGGCTGGCTTTGAACTGTGACTCTCAGATCTTAGCCACCTTAGTAGCTGGGATTACAGTGCCACTGGTGCCTAGCAAAATTAGGTTTTCTCTACACAATTTTGAATAATGTTGGATTGAATGGAATAGTTAAACCAGAGTATGCCTGACTTTCCCTCACCAGCTAATAAACACAAATTCATGTTTTAGAATAGAGTATATGTCTCTCCTTGAAATTCAGGCCCCTCTGTAAGACAGTGATTCTCATTATTCATGTGCACCAGAGTGCCTAGGGTATTTACTCTCACTCAGATCCCAGAATGCTGACCAAGAAGGTCCATCTACCATGAGTTTCTAGAAACCACACTATGGTAAACACTGTCCTGAGAAGCTGCTTCTGTTTTAGGCATGGATCTCAACAAGTTTGGAGGTCGACAAGATTACTTTTCATGTTCACTCCACATAAAGTGTCTAGCTTCAGTATTAAATATTTGGATTCCTCAATGCATGTGATGGAGGTAAATACAAAACCCCTAAGATAACTCCAGCATGAAGAGCATGCTGTCATTGGGCAGGTTGCCTGCTCAAACATGTTTGAAGGGTATTCTGGTACAAAACCAAAAGTCTGCCGTCATTCTTTGATCTCAAATATTAAGCCAGAGGTAGACTCTGTCTAGTACCCCCTCAGGATAAGTTCCCTCATTTCTAAATGAGGAATCTTGGGACTTTATATTAACTTAATCCTTCTTAATGCATCTGAGAAAATTACTACCTTAATTAAATTCATGGAATTGTTCTGATGGTAAGTCTCAAAAAGAACCATAGAACCCCAATGGCTTTATTAGATTTTTAAATCTCAATTAAGGATTAAATAGGGACTGATATGTCAGAAATATGTGGATCTGATACAGGTGACAGCACATATTGAGAGAGTTTACAACACACTTGGAGAGTAAGAAGGAGAAGGTTTAAGGAAAGAAGGAGAAAGAACTACCAGTGTTTGAGTTGTGCCTTGCAGTACATAGGATTCTAATGGAGAGAGAGAGAGACACAGAGAGAGACAGAGAGAGAGACAGAGAGAAAGAGACAGAGACAGACAGAGAGACAGAGACAGAGAGAGACAGAGAGAGACATATTCCACCCAAAGCTGACAGGACCAATGGGCGTCCAGTGCTTCATCCCTGCATTCTCGGAACTGCTCTGGAGGCCATTGCCCCATTTTACCCGGCAACCTGAGACACAGGCTGCTCAAACCATGCAGTTAACATGTCAAGAACCAACATCTCTCCCAAAAAGAAAAAGAAAATCATGAACTACTTAAAAAGGACTATTGTAGAAGCCTGAATTTTGTTATTTTGCTGCATGAGCTAAGAAGGTTTAGAATTTGTAAGTGAAATCGAAGCTTGAAAGTTTAGTTTAGAGAAACAGTAAACCCATTTTTCCAATAAGCCTGGCTTCAGTTGTGGGCAATCCTGTACCTGACATTTTCACTTAATCCTATGTTTTGTATCCCCACAGTGACCATGTCACTGTTATTTTATTTTGGTGTACTGGGGTTTGAACTCAGGGCCTTGTGCACACTGGGCACTGTTCCTGAGCTTCTTTTGCTCAAGGCTAGCACTCTACCACTTGAGCCACAGCTCCACTTCCGGCTTTTTCTGTTTATGTGGCACTGGGGAACTGTACCAAGGGCTTCATGCATACAAGGCAAGCACTCTAGCACTAACCCACATTCCCAGCCCGCTTTAGTTAGTTTTACAATATATTCTTCTGTTCTTGTCAAGGGCTACCTTTAGACCACTATCTTCCTACCACATGGCTGAGAGCACAGGTATGAATCTCCACGCTCACTTTATTGGTTGAGATGAGATCAGCTGACTTCAAACCTCAATCCTATCCACCTCTCCCTCCCAAGTGGCTGGGATCACAAGAGTGTGCCATCATATCTAGCCCTTTCATATACTTGCATTTTAATTGACATTAAATCATGTACTTATTCACACATGTGGGCCTACACAGCGCTCCACGTATATGGTTGCTGTATCTTCCTATTCAAATGCTTATCACAAATACTAGGAAAACACTGGGCGTGGCCATTTGAGCCTTTACCAGCTACATGGGAGGCAGAGATATGATGATCCCAGTTCAACACCAGCCCAGAAGAACAGGTCCCATGTGGTTGTTCTGTGATCTGTACTGCATGAGAGGAGTAGCTCGGAGGACCACAGGCCCCTCTGGCCCTAATCTTGCCATCTAAGTCACCCACACTCTAATGTCTCCAGTCTCCTTGGTAAGCTCTAGGCCTAGCTGTTGCAACAGACATATGCCTTTGGACATTTCAACAATCTTCAAACTCAGATTATATAAAACAGAACTCAGTGTTTTACTAAAAATGCCCTTTTCTTTATATAGTCCCTAAGTCCTTGAAAGAAGCCTTCTTTAACCACTCACACTACTCTGGTCACCCATCTTGTGCACTATCGCATTACAATTCAAACTTACTGCCTCAGATTTTATTGGTTATTTCTTTTCCTGTAATTGCTGTTCACTATTTTCCCATGTAGGCTCCAAGAAAACAAACAAATTTAGGACCTGACCCTGAGCATCTCAGAGAGGGCCTGACTCACATTGGATGGGCAGTCAATAAATATTTAATGATAGAAAGAAATAACTCCGACCCCTACCTCTCTCCTAAGTTCTCACCACAACCCTCCTGGGCACTCTTGCTCCAACTTCATGATGCATTCAATTAATTAAAGTTCCACAAACCCCAATCCCCATTACATACAATATTCCTTTACCAAAGGCTGACTTCACTGATTTGAAATCATTTAGTTCAAGCATTCCCTCTGGGGTACTTCCTTCTTGACAAGAATATATCATCATTATCTCTGATAAATTACAAGTTCCTTTATAACATTTAGACAGAGATGGAAGTGTGACTCAGTGATACAATGCTTGTTTAATGTGTGGGCTCAGTACTGAGCAAGACAGTAAAATAAAACAGCCAAACATAACCAATATCCTTTGCTGAAATTAAAGCTGTACCCCCACTAAGTAGTAATTCGTTATTTTTCATTTATACAAATACTTCTGAAACAATTTAATATTATAGAAGCAATGGGGGAGTAGAGAGACAAAAAAGCATATAGAAAGCAAGTAGATGTAAATCTTGTATTATCAGACTATATTACGTCTGTAATAAATTCTAGAAGTGTTACATTATTAAAAACTAAATTAAAGATAAATGGACTCAGCAAACATACCAAAAGGAAGAAGTTGGTAGAACAGATAAACACACACACACACATACACACACACATATATACAAACATAAATGATCTATCTTAATATTGAGCAAAATTGGAATACTGTACATTCAAACCAAACAGATTGAAAGCAAAAAGATGTAACACACAATGAGGGAAAAGAGGGGGGGTGTATCAGATAAAATAGGCAAAATTTATTGGTAGGAAAAAAAGCAGATATTTTATTTATTAAAATGAACTGCTCAACTACTAAGAAGCACATCAATTAAAAAACACATACACACTTAACAATGGAGCTCAAATATATAGAAAGCAAAAGCTGACAGAAAAGATGTGAGAAATATACCTAAACTCAGTTGGAGCTGGCAATATCTCATTTTCCATCATGATCAGAAAAATTAGATGCAAGATTAGTAAGGAAATAATAGGAGTTGAAAACACTATAGCCCAAAAGGACTTAACAGATGGAGAGCATTCCGCTCACATTCTGAATGGATGTGAACAGGTTGGTACAGGATTTCACGCAAGTCACTTAACACATGTCCATTATGGTATGTTCATTGTTTTACTTTTCCCCCATAGAAGGCACAGGAAGCTCAAAACACTAACCTCAATTTCAAGTTTGAGCAATAAAACTGGGAAAGGAATTGTACTTGGAAAATAACTTGGACAATTAAGACTGAATGCAATCTCCTTATAGCTAAAAATAGATCCTAGATAAAGGCTGCAGGGTTCATGGGGGAAAAACACAATATTTTACATATTAGCTGTAGGTTATATAAGCTTCATAAACTTAGTCAAGATGTTTAATTAATATGACCCTTAGATGCCTCATCTGTAAGATGGAAACACCATGATTAATATTAAAATTAGAAAAAAAATAGAAAAAAAGATTAAAATTAGAGACAATGTACATAAGGCACATAAAATAATAATCAGCAAAAGAAGGTATTCTAAAATAACCTTTTTCTTCTAATAAACAGACACAGACACACAGACACACACACGCACGTACACACAGACGCACGTACACACACACGCGCACACACACACACACACACACACACACACACACACACACATACACACACCCTAATATTGTAGATCTGGATTTAAGTTAAAAAAAATTACGTCCAATTTTGACCAAAGGGCAGGTTTTGGCTTGACTATCCTGAACAATTAGTTTCAGAGTGATAAATCTGACTCAATTAAAAAGTATTGATAGCCAGGTGCCCGTGGCTCAAGCCTATAATCCTAGCTACTCAGGAGGCTGAGATCTGAGGCTCAAGGTTCAAAGCCAGCCCAGGCAGGAAAGTCCATGAAACTCTTATCTCCAATAAACCACTAGAAAACCGGAAGAGGCACTGTGGCTCGAGCGGTAGAGCGCTCACCTTGAGCTGAAGAGCGTAGGGACAGTGCCCAAGCCCCACGACTGACCAAAAAAAAAAAAAAGTATTGATATACCTTACTTATGTAACTGTAACCCCTCTGTACATCACTTTGACAACAAAAAAGAAAACAATATCTAATTTTTAAAAGTATTGGAAAATATTTCATACATGAACTAAGAAGAGGAAAGGATCCTTTCCAATGCTTTCTCTCAGACATTCCATTTGTTTTTAAATCTCTACAAAGTCTTTCATACAGTGAGACATTCTGACAAGTACTTCATTTCTTAGTAATTGAATACCTTTAAGCAAAGAACACATAAGCCCACACAGTTGTCAGTTAATGCTAATTTAGGGTGCTTTTACAAATAAGTACAAAAAAGTTCAGTTACATATCCAAATCATACTAATTCAAATGGTATATATTTGTCTGTGGGCAATTATTTCCAAGGGTATTATTTCATAATTATCTACTGACAATCTCCCAGAATATTAACTTCACCACTGAAGATTTTGAATATGAAGGTAGTCAAGCATTTCAAAACATCAGCTTAAAAAGCAATGGGGATGTGCATAGTGGCATATGCCTAGAATCCCAGCTACTCAGGAGGCACAGGTGGAGGATTTCTGTCTGAGGCCAGTCAGGACAAAGATACCTTGAAACCCTATCTGAAAAATAAACTACAAGCAGGACTGAGACATGACTGTAGCATCCCAAACAGGTAGCTGCTAACTGTATGTGGCTATTCAAATTGAGTTAGAACTAAACAAATTTAAAATTCAGCACCTTGGTGTCAATAGCCATATGTCAAGCACCCAATATATCCTTGTGTGGAGATTCAGTGCTATGCTGGAAAGTGCAGACCCCAGAGCACATCTCCTGGATATCACTGGAAGACACGCAGAAACATATTTACCTTGACCACAGTGATGGCAACTCTTCTTGTAAGTCAACATTAAACTCTTCAAACACTTTCTGCGCTTTCTGAAATTCCTCTTCTGCCTAGAAATGGTGCACAATACACATTTGCACACACAGACACACAAGCCATTTCTACAAACAACACCATCTGATTTAAAACAGAAATTGCTTTACGTATCCTGAAAAGATCAGGGAAAGGAAGGAACATTTGTTAAAATGCACACCAATTTTTTTCAATTAAATATGAAATAGGAGGAGTTTTTTAACAGGGAACTAGATTGAGTATAGTGCTTTACCCTGTGCTGGTCACTGGTGGCCAATTCATTTATCCTACAAAAATGTGCTTGCTTACCTAACTTATGAAATGGTAACCCCTCTGTACATCACCTTTATAAAAATAATAAAAAATAGTTAATTAAAAAGGTGATTGTTGGGGCTGGGAAGGTGGCTCAGTGGTAGAGCGCTTGCCTTGCATGCATGAGGCCCTGGGTTCGATTCCTCAGCACTCCATAAGCAAAAAGAAAAAAATCCGGAAGTGGCACTGTGGCTCAAGTGGTAGAGCCCTAGCCTTGAGCTGAAGAGCTTAGGGACAGTGCTCAGGCCCAGAGTTCAGGCCCCACGACCGGATCCCCCCCCCAAAAAAAGTGATTGCTGCCTGTCATCTGGAAAATTTTACTCTGGCTACTGGAGATGAATGCCCCCCTCCCCCCGAAAGTCTCAATCTTCTTGGGTGACTAAATAATTGCCTGATGCATCTTGAGAAAGGACTGGCAATCCATTCTGCAACCATCTTATAGGGGAAGGGGTACAGAGAAGAGAGAAGGTTCCACAGAGAGGTCACATCTTAACTGAACCTTGAAGAACCAGCAACCACTTGGTAAAGGAAGAGACCTGAAAGCATCACAATACATAAAAGAGGTGGTGGTGGTCCTTGGGATAGAAGTCTAGTTTCTCTCATGTGGACTTGGTTTGCTCTTCATATCTGTACCTCAGTGGCTAAGATGAATATGAAGGAAAGGCAATGCAGATGAAGGGTTAAACAGAGTTCCTGGCATCTGGGACACCGCCCTTGAGTGGATTGATTACTGTGGCTGCTCAGGATGTCGAGCAGGTCACACAGGGTCTGCTTAGCATGTGTGTGTGTGTGTGTGTATGTACATGGGGGGGTGGGGTGAGGAGCACGGAAGTACTTGAATGCTGGAATGAATAGCTAGCAGGAGGGTTAACCAAATCGTGAAGGTCCTACACAGCACGCAAAGGAATTTTAATCTTTTTATCCTTTCTACAGGCAATCAGAGCCATAACAAGAGTTTAGCAGTAGAGAAACACAGCTAAACATGAGATGTAGAAAGACCACTACTCAGGCAGCTGTGCTCAGGCAGAGAAGCAATCCTGAGCCCACAGGGAGCAGTGGGGAGGTGATTATCAGTTAGCTGGTATTTGTAAACGACTTGCATACAAAACAAAACTGACTGAAATGGGCTTTCTAAAAGAAAATTAATGATATGAATGCCTGTATTCTTACACGATCATGAGTTGTCTGAGAATTTCTAGCTTGATTCCCCAGCATAATCTACATTAAAGCAGGGACCACAGAGCATAGCACACAGGGAAGTTCTGACACAAGCAAGACTCGTAGTCCTATCACAGAGCAGTGGAGCCAAATTTATACTGATCAAAATGTGTGAGTCAATCTCACTCATGTACACTCTGTAATTACACAAAAGTCCTTTTTTGATTAAAAACAATGGAAAGGGGCTGGAAATGTGGCTTAGTAGTAGAGTGCTTACCTAGAATGCATGAAGCCCTGGGTTTGATTCCTGAGTACCACATAAACAGAAAAAGCCAGAAGTGGCACTGTGGCTCAAGTGGTAAAGTGCTAGCCTTGAGCAAAAACAGCTCAGGGACAGTGCCCAGGCCCTGAGTTCAGGCCCCAGGACTGGCCAAAAGAAAAAAAAGGAAGGGAGCCCAGAACATTCAGTTTCAATCTGTCTTGAATAGTGAAAATTAAAGATGCAACAGAGCAAGTGACATGAAAAACTAGTAATAACTGTGGGATCCACTGCAGGATCAACTATGGGATTCACTGTGGGATCGAGAGCGGGATCTGCTATGTGACCCATTGTGAGAGCCTCTGTGGGGTCCACTGTCTCCTATATGATCTGTTGGGAGAGCCACTGTGGGGGGGTCAACGGTGGGATGCACTGTGGGATCAGCCCCTACCTTAGAGATCCGGCTCTCATCCTTCCTCTTGGAGCTCTGCAGGGCCTCCAGGTGGTGGCGGGCACTGTCGTAGTCCACCAGCTTCCGGCTGCGCTTGGCGATGCGATTCTGACAATGGGGAAACAGACACACTGAGAAAAAGATATCATCATAGAGACTGTCTAACCAATGTCACAAATGCTTTCTTCATCTGAAGAAGCTGAGGATTTTGACAGAAGGTGGAGGTGTGCAAGGATTTCACTACCAAAAGACCCCTGGAAATCAGAATACAGCTTTTCCTTCATTATGTGGAAATGATTAGGAAAAAGATTTCTCTAATCTAAATAATCAGCCCAACCAGAGGAGCTGAAAGCTCCAGGTTGTATTCACAGGTGGGGAAAATTCTAGAATTTCGGGTCTGAGGGAGAAGTCAAACCTGTACTCCAGATCTTAAAATATTCTAGTTCAGTAGAAAACTACTGTGGTTTTTAGAAAACGTCTGTGGTTTTTAATAACACACCTAGCAACAATGCAATCAAACAAATTCACTTTCTAAGATATTCTTTCTCATACAGATGATCTCCATCCTCTGTTCAGTACCACCTGAGCTCATCCATCACTTTATCACTTTGCTGGTGTCTGACACACAGGCAGGCTAACAGGCAAGCTATTCACCACCAGCTTCCATCAACCATTGTGAGAAAGTCTGGAACAAGACACTTGTCTTGTAGTGTGAGCAGGTAGAATGAGGAGAGCTTTGGCTATAATCAATGGACCAAATGCCCTGCTTACCTACAGGGTCCATTTTCTCCTACTAAGCAAAATCTGTAAGACACTTAAGAAAAAGGCACCAAACTCTTTTTCCCACGGTAGAGAAAAGCCAAGCTGGGTCAGGCCGTGCTAAAGGTTTGATTGAACAGAGAACTACTGACAAACCACTAACTAGAACTACTGACGAGAAAGATACAGAAGGACAGAAAACATTAAGGCTGTAGGCCAACATAATTGCTCTGTACTGCAAGACAGAAGGGTAAAAAAAAACTGTGAACCTTGCGGGGAGGAACCAAGGGCTGACTCCTCCCCCTCAGACACAGAAGGGATTTCCTGAGTTCAATTCCAAGCAATTAGCCTAATAATGAGAACTACCTTAGGAGAAAATGCTTTGAAAACGATTCAGATGCAGTTTTAAGAAAAAAAAAGAGAGAGAGAGATGGCAGTCATGTGTACGTTTATGCTTTTCAAAATATGGGCACACACTCATATCACAGAGGTTCAGAGAATCCTAGGTGTTGAAAGGGTCAATTATCTTTGTTCAGAGGCATTGGAGTTGCAGGAGAATAGCCTGAAACTTGCCCCGAATGGCCTGGCAAGTCCATGAAAACACAAGACTGGAATCCGAAGTCATCCCTCCCACTGGCTCAGCACCAGGATGTGAGGCGAGTGAGCCGGCTGGGATACAAGATGTGAGAGCCTCTTCCACTCAAGGTTGACTTAGGCACATGGTGAGCATCTCGGGAGGTTGCCTCGGCCTGCCTCACCCTGGGCTTGAGTCATTTCCAATAGCTACTACTGTGTGCGTCAAGGCTGCGGGCAAGGGACTACCTGTTACCTGGTCCTCCCTCCACAGCCCCATCAGGATCCGTGACAGGTGGCTGTGGACAGATGCTCTTACTTTCCTCCTCCCCTTCCTCTTCTTAGTCTTCTTCTTCCTCCTCCTCCTGTTCTTCTTCCTGTTTTTCTCCTTCTTCCTTCTCCTTTTCCTCCTCCTTCTCTTCCTTCTTCCTCCTCCTCCTCTTCTTCTTCCTCTTCTTCCTTCCCTCTTCCCCCTCTTATTATTATTATTATTAACAGTGCTAGGGTTTGAAACTCAGGGCCCCATATTCTCACTTGAGTTGCTTGCTTAGCTAGTGCTCTACCACTTCAGCCATGCTTCCATGCCAGTTATTTGTTGATTATTCTGGAGATGGGTATCTCCAGGGCTTTCCTTGAAACTTGATCCTCTATATCTCTGCCTCTAGAGTAGCTAGGATTATAGGCACAAGCCACTGGAGTCCAACATGGAAGGCACTAATTTCAAGGCCACCCCTCTTTTGATAAATTACATTTTTGTGTTGGAAAAATAAGTCAGTCTTATTTCTTTTCCTCTGTGACATTTGGGAAATTTGGTGGAAAACAATCTCAGAAGGACAGAGTTAATATTGTTGAGATTTTTGTTTTTTACAAAATAGGATACAATTCTTATCCAGTACAACAATAATAAACTTAATGTAATAATAAATAGGTCAATTTAACTAACAATACATTTCCATTAAATAATGGGTTTAATTAAAAGCTTCCACTGTGCACTGAATTTCTGCAGATCAGAAGCTGTTTTTTACCCTTTTAAAAAGAAAATAATAATCCTGTTGACACACCGTGGCCAATACCTGCCTGCCGAGTTAGAATCTAAACTGCACCCTTCCATAACTGCGCACAGCCGTGAGTCTGCTGGAGTCAGTGACAAGCAGGCTCTTTTTATGGAATTGAATTCACACGTGAACCCTGAAGAATGGAAACCATAACACAGGATGCCCTGCCAACACGGCAGGAAAAGCCAAACACCATCACCTTGTGAATGGTACTTCTTACCTCTCACTGGTGTGCTGTGGTAAATATTTGGAAATGAGCCTGAGGTTTTAACTGCACATGGCCTGTGGAGTTTTAGTGGGAGTCAAGGAAGTTAATTCTGTTCCTTGCGTTCAAAATTCTCTACTCAGTATTTTTCATCATCATTTTCCTTTCTATCAATAACCCCATTATGTAATTTCTTAGCCTTCACTTTAGGAACTCCTTCTCAATTCCCTACATAGAGAAAAGACACAGAGAATAATTTAAACCCATTGTCACCCAACAAAAATCTTTAAAAATATTCAATAGAGGTATCTTCCTACTTATAAAAATGTCTCTTTTCCAAGTTATTAATGCTCTTCCCTCCATATGTGTCATGTTCCAGGGTTACCCAATTCTCTATATTGCTTGACAGTCTGTGCATTCTCCAATTTTCTAAATATGGCTTGGGAAAAAGAGACAGAAGGAGACTCAGAAAGAGCAAGACAGACAGATACACATAAAACCCTGACATGCGTTTATCTTCAGAGCACCTAGCCCAAAGACCTAGCTCCTATCACTTCCAAATCACTTCATGTTCAGTAAATGGAGCACTGTCTCTGCATGTGAACTTGACCATGGATCCCAAGGAAAGTACTTCTTAAATTAAAGCTGAGTTGAGTTGAGCTAGTTGAATTCCCTATCTTTCTGAAACAGCAGAGTCTAGCAAATAATAATAATAATAATACATCATGATTTTGCTTTAGTCTCTCTGTATCTCACCACAGGTTACTGTATGTGCTTGTCTTCTGAAAAACCTTTACTCTCCGGAGAATATATTCAATTTTTCAATAAGTGTCGCCAGGCAGTATTAGATCAGCTGAGATTCTCACATTTTGTTGATGATTTTGTCTTCATTCCTCAACTCAACAGCCCTGCAAATTTCTATTTCTCCAGAGAATCAGTCTTCCTTTGCCTAGTCAAGTCATATTAAGGATAGACAGCATACAAATAATTACAGGCTTCCTTGAATTTTTAGGTAGGAAATATCATTTTCCTTGCCCTCTTCTGATTTATTTTGTTGGCTTTTATAGAGATGACAATGCCACGAAATAGAGGTGATATCTGATCGTGGAGCAACAGGAAACCCTGGCTTCCCTTTCTTCGAGGTATATACCAACTCACTAGCGTCCAAGGGCAAGGGCAAGGCAGAGCTGTGTTTGGAATGGTGCCATCCATCATACAACCACACGCAACAGTTCCTTCCCCTGTTTCGGCCCCGCAGGAATGGAAAACAAACCCAACTCCCAGAGTGTACCTGAGGCACCATACCTGTCCAGCATCACATCTTTTCCAGAGGTTTCTGTGTTAGTCTTGGAACACTAACATACTTTTAAGCACTTACGTAATATAACCAGCATACTCTAACCACCCCGGTGGCCAATAGGGACTAAGATGATAGTTTGATTTACCACAAACTAGTTACCACAGCTCTTTTCCTAAAATCAATGCACACGAAGTTTCCAAAGCCCAGATTTCAGCTTATCCTAGGGGAAATTGAACAAGTATGCAATGCTCCAACTTTTGCGGGCACGGCATGCAGCACTGGCTAAGTCTTGCTTATCTCTTGCAGGCCCCAGCATTCTCTAGCTACGTGGAGACTGCTAAAAACACAGAGGTTTGGCTAGTTTAACACAGAGTTGAGAAGTCTCCAAAAATATCTGACTGGTCTCACAGGTAAGGAGCTGCTCTACCGAGCCAGTCTGTGGAGACAGAGATGAGTGTTTTGTGAATGTACATACAGATCTACTCCCTACTGCATTTTCCAACAAGAATAATACATCTAGACTGGACCATGAAGGGTCCTTGCCCAGGGCCCTTGGTACCTTCAAACACTCTGTACATGCACCAACTACACTAAAGCCTATTTTATGTGGGCAAGGAAACTAGAACCATGATGAGGGCTTGTTTAATGAAAACGCATTCCTGTGTCTCAGAGCCAAAGCTAGTGTGCAATGGTACAGTCTCCTGGGGTTTGATTAGCATAACACAGAAGGCCAGTTAAAAGCTGGATTGCATGTCAGAAGACACAAAATGAGATGCTCACTGCAAATACCCAATGATGTTGGGTCAGGGGTTCCTTGCCCTGCCAGAGAGATTGAATGTGACTACCTTACCAGGAATCATACTTTAAAGCAGGGAAAACAAGTGGGACAGCTGTGTAATGCTGCCCAGTTGATGGATACAATGCAAATGATGGCTTGAAGGCCATCTTTGCCTCCAGTGTCAATCTCCTATCTGCAATCAGTCCTGTTCGGCATATCAACCCTGGCAGCGAATCTGAGTGTCAAATAAGATGCATTTATCTTTAGAAAAGGTGTTTCCAGGTCTGGATGCAAATGCATTTGGAATGCTTATACCTTAATACTCCAATCTGAACCTGAGATTTTGAAGGAGAGGGAAAATATGTAGGTGCATTATCACCCACATATTGAGAAATAAATAGAAAGGAAGTCAGACTGTTTCCATAATGAAGTTTCTTCCTTCCTTGTTACCATGATGATTTATTCTTATGGAAATTCCTTATCCAATGCTTTATGATAAAAATTTAATATGAAAGACTGAAACTTGTTGGTGCTTCTGAATTTATGATTTTTTGTATTTCAGGCTTCTAAAAGGCTTCTGGCAAGAAATGAAAGATGAAGCAGTTCACCAAAAGGGACAATGTGTAACTGGCTTTTATGTCAAAAGTGATAGGCATAGAACAAAAGTCCTATGTTCAAATAAAGGAAAAGTTACTGCATGGCTTTGATGTCTGTTTGAGGATGTCTAATTCCCCTTCTCTTAACTACCTGAGACCATTCAATTCTTCCCTTTATGCATGCAGGATAAAATTACCTTTATGTCAGGAAACTGGCCCAGGTAGGTGTCCAGAGTCAGCAAGGATCCATCCACTAGCTTTTGATGGAAGTCTTCCCACAGAACATCACATTTCTAAAAGAAAAGAGAGAAATCGATAGGTATCACATTATTTTAATTGGATACAGCTCACTAAGCTTCTAAACCATCTCAAAGTATAAAGGTAGATAAGTAATATTTTCCAGATAGTAGAAGCCAAAATGAATATGGATGGCTTAAGTATCCTTAATTTAAAATTAAGGACAATATTATCACATTTTTTTTGATTAGGCAAAGAACTCAGCTCACTTAAAAAATGTATTTCTGGCTCTAATTTATTAATCAATGTAAGCTTCAAAGGTCTCCAATTACCTATACATGGACTTGGGAGCTAAAACACAGAAGAAGTCCAGGGACAGCCAGCTTACCTGAGCAATTCTGGACATCAGAAATCAACTCATTAGCTACTCAAGAGGCTGAAATCTGAGAATAGTGATTTCAAGCTAGCCTAGGGAAAAAGTCCAAGAGACTCCATCTTCAATTAAGAAGTTAAAAATGCTGTACTAGAGGTCTGGCTCAAGTTGTAGAACATCAGCCATGAGCCAAAAAAGCTGAGTGAGAATGTGAAGGCCTGAGTTCAAGCCCTAGTACAGCACAAAAAGAAACTTTTAAATATTTTTAATATCATTAAGTAGTTGTACAAAGGAGTTGCTATTCAACAAAGCAGTTAATGAATACAGTGCATCTTGATCAATGTCATCTCTTTCACTGCTCTCCCCCATCCCTCTCAACCCATCTCTTATTTAGGCACTGATGGCTCACTTCTGTAATTTTACCTATTCAGGAGGCTGAGATCTGAGGATTATGGTTTGAAGCCAACCTGGCAGGAAAGTCTGTGAGACTCTCATCTCCAATTAACCACCAAAAGACCAGAAGTGAAGCTGTGGCTGAAGTTGTAGAGTGCTAGCCTTGAGCCAACAACAATAACAACAAATCTCAGGGACAGTACCCAGATCCTGAGTTCAAGCCTCAGGACCAGCAAAAACAAAAAGCAACCCAAAAAAACTACAGCAGAAGCAATTACACAGTGAACAGGAAACTCATAGTTGGAAGAGACTTAACATTTATGAAGTAAACCCACAGTGAGTGTTAGTTACTAGGTTATTTTTATGATCACTATGTCAATTATTAGGTTTAATACTCTATAGGACCATTTAATTCTCACAACATTTATGAGGAAAAACTTCCAGTATATACAGAAGAGAACACTGAAATCTGTGAATGTCACGTAAGGTCCAGGTCATATTGGCCAAGGTCATGTGGTAGGATAAAGAAGAGACCTAGCTTTCCATCCAGGTCCATCTCTTTGCACTCCAAGCCCACATCTGTCTATTATACTAGACAGACATACTATACTGTCTATTATACTTAGCTAAACATTAGGATTCAGATTCCAGCTGAGTGACATCTGGACACTGAACCTTCCTGGATTTCAAGTCCCCTAGCTAAATGAATAAGGAAAAAGCACTTCACAAAAATCCCAGGCACATAGTAGGTCCTCAGGAATGTCACTCCCACATTGCTATGACAACTGTATTTGGGTCTTCTCACAGAGTCAATCTGCTGCTTACTTACCAATCTACCCTCTTGTGCCCTTAGCAATTGAACATCTAATTTTAACAGGGCCATGTGGTTGCCCAGGATAATGTTTCTATTTCCTAGCTTCCTTTGCAACTATATTTCTGTAAACATCTCAAAGAGGAAGGAGAGCCTTTGTCTTCCAGACTTCATTCTTCCCATTGATTGAAGTATGAACGTAAGAGCTAATGGCCAGTTCCCCAAGAGTCCTCTCGTATCTGCATGAGGCTAGCTAAAGATGGGAAAGATGGAGCACTGACATGTTTTTGAGTCTATCATGCCAGACGTGGACCTGATCCCCAAATTCTACTATGTGAGAGACAAATTTTCTCTTTCTAAAAAAAAACACCTGTTTAATTTTTTTTTCCTTTTCACACTTCAAAAATAATACTAGATGTTAGGGTAAGAGTTTTATACAGAGAAATATCTTAAGGAGTATGATTCTGGGGCAAGAGTGCTTGCCTACTATGTGTAAGGCCCTGGCTTCAATCCTTCTTTCCTTAAGTCCTCTGTGAACAGACATTCTGACCAGGAACTCAGGAGTCCCTTCGCCAGCATATTTGCATCTGCAATTGAGAGTATCAAAACATTTGCCAACCACAGGGATCAAAATGGGAAAGCAGCCATGAACTTGGAAGAATCCACAGTGTCAGAGTACTTGCCAGGTTGAGAAAGCAATGAGTCCGTATCTAACAGTGTTCATACAAGTTTCAACTATTTCCTTAACAAGTCTACATCCATGATTAATGTTTAGTAATATACCATTAGTCAAAAACTTAGTCACGAGGCATTTTTAGCACTTCATTGTCAAAACTGTCTTTACATTCAGAAAAAAAAAACACAAGAAGAAGAAGTTATGTGATCATTTCATTAGAAAATCATGTGTGAAAAAAGTTTTGTGAACTCCACATCTTAAAAGTTCGGAGAAGATATAACAAAGCCAATAGCTCTCCTCCTAAGTATTATCTCAGTCCTAATGAAATTCTAAAGACCAATATCCGCTTGTCAGAGCTGTCATGGAATCACTTCAACTGTGTTATTAGCAGGTCCAATGATTATTCTCATTTTGTATATGAGGACACTGAGGGCCCAAGGAAATTAAAGAACTAACCCAAGGTTACCCAGAGCTACACTTCCTCCCTGATCCACTCTGCTTCCAGGAAGCAGCAACCCTCGTCCATTTGTCTACTTCCTCCATGCCACAAGGACCCACACTAGTTCACTATGTCTAGGGCCAAAGCTCTGCTCAAGCTCAATTCCTGGGAGCAGGCTGACTTTGTATGTGTCCTCAAGTTCTACAGATTGGTGATGAACAAGCCAGGGTCACTGTAGAATAGATGTTGTTCAGGCTTCCTGTCCCTATATTCAGGAATAAGTGGTTAAAGTGGAAATGGAGCAAAGGGAAGATGTTACTATAAGAAATCACCCTATCATCTAGTTCTCTTAGAAATGGTATATAGCAAGAAAAAGAGCACTATTGTTATTTTGAAGAAAAATAATCATTAGTACACAACCTTCTACCTAAAGATTTTATAATCCCTTTCATCTCTTGCTATGAGTTCGGAATGATCGAGAATTGCATGTTATCTTCTGGGTACATGATCGCCCCTCACCATGAAGGCTCTGAAGTGTGCAGGGGAGGCACAGGAGATAGGTTGAACAGGCCCGGCTTGGTAAGAGCCTCCTGTGCACAGCCATACAGCTCTTACCTCTCCAACCATCTTCACATCTTCCCGACCATACCAATCAGGCTCGTACACCTCATGCAGAGACTCGGTGAGTTTCATGGAGGCCTCTTGCATGCCTGGTATTGGAGAAAAACAACTCCTGTAAGGAAGGAAATAAGCAAAGAGTCTCTTCTTCCTCTGCTTTGCTGAGTGAAAAATCTTGAGGTCCTGTTAGATACTGAAGGAAAAAGTTGTACAGGCACAACTGCCATTTTGATCTACAGCCATGATTTTCCTTGAGGGCCCCTGAGAACTATCACACTTAACATCTTCTACTCTTTACAGGGAGATAGAACACACTGGGTCTTGGGGGGAAAAATGAACACATTCTTATTCTGAAAACAACATCAATAATAAAGAGTTGTGTTATCTGTGCTATATCACTCACAAAACATCACGAAGTCTTGAATGTGTAGACCACTAAGAAGAGTCTGTTAATTTCAGAGCTCTAAAAATAGGAATTAATCTGAACTAACTTAATGCAAATGCTTTACTTTTAAACAAAGCACTTTTAGAAACAGATAAAAACAAAATAGAATTTTAAGATATAACAGCTAAAGACGGTTAAGTGGTTTGAAAGAGTAAAGAAATGCTTGAAAAGTGGTCTAAAATTTTAAAAAATGAAAGAACAGAGAAGCAAAAAGGCTGCATTTTTCCAGCATTTGTAACAACCATCTATACAGTTATAAATACAAACTTTCAGAAAGGTTAGGGTTCATAAGTCTATGGGTCTACATTTTCATCAAAAGTACACCTGATATGTTATATAAATGTAGTTATTAATAATAGCAGATAAATACAGTTTCTGAGTGCAATGTGGCAATTAAAACTATCATCATGGGAAATGGCTCAGTGGCTCAAGTGATAGAGCGCTAGCCTTGAGCTGAAGAGCTGAGGGACAGCGCCCAGGCCCAGGGTTCAAGCCCCATGACCAACCAAAAAAATAAAAAAATAGCCAGACGTGAGTGGCCTGTAATCCTAGCTACTTAGGAGGCTGAGATCTGAGGATCAAGATTCAAAGCCAGCCTGAGCAAGAAAGTCTGTGAAACTCTTATCTACAATAAATCACCAGAAAACCAAAAATGGTGCTGTAGCTCAAGTAGTAGAGCGCTAGCCTTGAGCTGAAGAACTGAAGGACAGCACTCAGGCCCACAGTTCAAGCCCCATGACCGACAAAATAATAAATAAATAAAAATAATAAAAAAGTAAAATATGTATCATCATATAATCGATGTAGGTTAATTTGTCTTACAAGAAATTTAAAGGAGAGAGATACAACCAGATTTTGATAATTTGTTGGGACTGGGAATGATTTTTTCTTGCATCTACTATAACATTATTCAAAATTTCTGTTGTATATACTCATTAATTGTACAGAAATGTTATTTATTAAATTTGTGCTTGAAATTACAACCAATGCTTATTCTCCAACAAATCAATGTTCATTTATTATCTCAGTAAAGAAAAGAATCATCAAGCCTTTTCCATGGGGTAAAAGAATAAGTGTGAGTTTCCATGGAGACAGGCTGAGAACTGGCTGGGGACTACATTAATCCCCCTGTGGCATCAGACTCTTCACCTACACATGGAAGGTAGAACCTAGCCAAACAGGTATCTTGGCCTCTGTCAGGAGGGAGTTCACAAAGACACTGAACAAAGGGAGAGAAGAGACGGACAACCCCAGTGAACCAAAGGCAGAAGCAACTTCCAAACAGGAAACTCAAGTATATACTTTCTGGCTAGATTGATTCTAGGTTCAATAATGATCACATTAAAACATGCCTGAAATGATTTAAAAAAAAAAGGAGTACTAGAGAGTGTAAAGAGATCAGTGGATGAGTTGGTATTTTATTGTATGTTTTCATTCTGTAGAATGGGAAAATCCCCCTTCATTGCCCCTGATAACAATGCATATATTGGGTCCTTGCATCCTAGAAGTTTGAATAATGTGTGGAAGTGCATAACCTTCTCTCCACAAAGTGCACATCATGACTGTGAAGAAGGATGCTCTAGACAATGGCTGATAAGTCTTGTCTATTCAGGCAAAGTCAAGGAAGGAAAACACAGTGATGACTCAAGTCTCTGGAGACTCTGATAAAACAATCCTACAGGAATAGAGACAGCCAAAATGGATGCAAAACCCTGCTCCTGACTCCCAGCAGCCAGCATCAAAGTGAGTATGAAGACTGTCTCCATGACAGGGTGACCACTGATCGGGAGAGAAACAAGCAACTCTGGACCAAGAAATGTACCCCTCAAATTCATGCCAAAGCTAAATTTCCTCCTATAATTCAGATGTCAAAAGGCCCTGAGAGATGATCATTAAATCTTTGCCAGAGTCAGATGAAATGATACATGATGCCTTATCAGAGAAAGTAGAAAAATGATCTTTTTTTCACAAAAATAAAAACGGGACATAATCTTAAAATAAAATTATGTAAGACTTTATTCACTGCATGCTAAGAGAATACTGCTGCAGTGGTAAATGCATGCATTAATAGCCCAAAATAGCTGCTCATCCCTGTGAGGATAAGAATGATGGGCAAAAAGCCATTGGCACACACAGATTGTTTCCACGACATTTATCCAAAGAGAACACTTTGATGGCCACAAAGATTGAGCCAGTGAATATTGCTCCCAAGAGGCATAAAGACCCACAGAGGGGGCAACATTTAGTTACTATGGTTTCAATATAACTCCAAAAGGTCACATCCTAAACCCTGACACAGCTGAGTAGAGAGGTGAGACCATTCAGAGAAGACTAAATCACGAAGACTGCCCTCATGGATGAGGACTCTAGCCTCATGAATGAATGAACGAATGCTACTGTCCCAGGAAGGCTTCATCATTGTAAGGTCAGGTCCCTGGCAACAATGAGCGTGGTCCTCTCTCCTTCTCTCTTGCCCACATGATAATCTCCATCATGTCAAGATCACCCTGATGTGATCTCTGGATCTTGGAACTTTTCAGCCTCTACAACCATGAGCCAAATAAATTTCTCTTCTTTATACATTGTCCAGCAGACAAAACAGACTAAAATAGGACTTTACGCTGATAAAATGTAATAGAGAAAAAGAAAGAAATTTAAAGGACAAATCTAAGTCCACTTCAAAGGAACATGGCAACATTAGAGTAGAGGGCATGCTAAATTTAACCTCTGGTATTGGATAACATCCAAAACCAAATATTTTTCTCTCTCTTTTTTGTGCTGGTCTTAGGACTTCAACTCATGGCCTGGACACTGTCCCTGAGCTTCTTTGCTCAAGGCTGCCACTCAACCACATGGGTCACAGCTCTTCTTCCAGCTTTTTGATGGTAAATTGGAGATAACCATCTCCTGCCCTGGCTTGCTTAAACCACAATCCTCAAATCTCAGCCACCTGAGTAGCTAGGATTACAGGCATGAGCCACTTTTCTTAGAGGATTAACAATTTACAAGCAGCAAAGCAACTGCCCAGCGTTATGGAGATTTATGTTTTTCTGTTGGATGCAACCTCTTCCCTCTGCTCAACATTTTTTGCATTAATAGAACCCAGAGTCTATTTCCATTTGGAGCTAACTTTGTGGGCTCCCTTCCATCCCCGAACATGGATTGCAGAGCTGGCAAGGTTGGCAACACAGATAATCTTTGCTTTCATAGCCTGAGAGCACATGTTTTAGCTCAAAACAGCCTCAGTTTAAATATATTATAGCAGTAGCCAGGAGCAGCAATAAACCATTAAGAGGTTATTGAATTTATTGCTAGTATCTAGCATCAGGTAGCTGTTTAAGAGGATAGCAGCTGTAGTCAGTGCCAGTAACTAACATCTGTAATACTAACTCCCTAGGAGGCTATGAATGTGAGGATCACAGTTTGAGGCCAGCCAAGGCCCTAGGTACAGTGCCTATACAGTGCTTATCCCTTGCCCTTTCCAACCAGAGGGCCTAAGTGAGTTTTTGAGTTCTCCTCTTCGGACCAGCCCACTCTCAGAATACAAGCAAGCTATACCTTTGCTTAAACAAATCCCAAACTCACTCTATCCAGCAAGTCTTCCTAGAAATCTCAGGCATGTGGGTGGCATTTATTCTTAGCTCCCAACAGAAGGGCAGATATATATTTGTCTTTGTATATTCTGATTATCATTTCAATGGGTATTTGGAAGTGGGTGGAATGAAAAACACCTGTGTTCAAGGACCCTACTCACCAGGAAGCCAAATGGCTTTGTAATTAGCACTCAATCTTGTCTCTTGGCAAGTTCCAAGAACAACTTGTGCTCAGTAACATGCAGTAAACAACTCATCCACATTACCTTTGATTGCTGCTAAGTATCCTCTGAGTTCTCGCTGGAGCCTGGTGCCCTCTGCCTGAAAGACACACAAGCATAGAGATGCTAAATATCTGATCTACATCCTGCTGCATGCAAACAGGAACAAGCAATAACACCCAATGCTCTTGCTGCCAGAAGCTCATTCTTCAAAGAACATAAATACATGGACACAGAATACAGCAAGACAATAATGCCCATCAGTCTAGATATTTATAGTTTTTCTTCAACTAAAAGGAAAAGAAAGCAGGTAAGATTCTGCTTAAAGTAGGAAATACGATTCACCATACTGCCTTCTATCTATTCAGAAGCTGCCATGTTTGTGATTTTGATTTTTAATGCTTGTCCTACGGCTTCAGCTCAGGGCCTGAGTGCTGTCCCTGAGCTGCTTTTTTGCTCATTGCTAGCCTTCGACCACCTGAGCCCCAGCTCCATTTCTGACTTTTGGGTCATTATAGATAAGAGTCTTAAGACTTTCCTACCTGTGGGCTGGGAAGGTGGCTCCGTGATAGAGCACTTGCCTTGCATGCATGAGGCCCTGGGTTCCTTTCCTCAACACCACATAAGCAAAAAGAAAAAAGCCGGAAGTGGCACTGTGGCTCAAGTGGTAGAGTGCTAGCCTTGAGCACAAGAGCTGAGGGACAGCGCCCAGGCCCAGAGTTCAGTCCCCATGACTGGACCCCACCCCATTCCCCCCAAAAAGACTTTCCTACCTGTGCTGCTTTCAAACTGTGATCTTCACATCTCAGGCTCCTGAGAACACTAGGATTATAGACATGTGCCACCTGGACCTGGCTACGTTTGTAATTTTGATACACAAAGAATACCAGCACTACACTGATGGCCTCTGTTCAGTTCAGCAGCCATGTGCTCCAGGTGTACCAATTCACCAGTCCAGAAGGGGACCAGAGTGTAAGTGGGCCTATCATATTAGTGCATTTGGCAGAAAAGGTTTGGGAAAGGTGGTTCAAAAGAACTTCAGTAAACTTTACACTTAAGCATGCTAATATGAGTCAAAAAATTAATATAATGGGGTGGCATCCATCAGGATAGATTGTGCTCAAAAACTGTGTTGGTGAATGCCAACTCCTTTGTACAAGTACTTAAATGGATACTTTTAAAAAATAATATAGGTTTCTCTGCACCTTTCTCAACACAGCCCCTAGAACATTTTAAATTATGTATATTATTTGTATTACATTTCTGTTGGATGGCACTGGAATAGAGAAATTGTTGAGTCATAAATTTTGACATATGGGTGCTTGTTTTAGTTCTAAATCCTCTTAAAAACTCTGAGAGAAGATTTGACTCGAAGTTGTTTAATATGGAGTGAATCAGGAAATGTCAGGTGAAGAGAGAAGGGGTGAGGCTGGGAAGGGAAGAGATGCAGCCTTCATTATCAAGTAAGTTAGCCAACTTACTGCACAACTGGGACTCAATCCCACTAAGGGACTCAGGGTTATAAAGCAAATCTAACACCCTGTGGATCGTCTAAATGAGGGCTGCAGGAGCTGGGCATGTACCCATCAACTGCTCTCATTTGTTGGTCCCGAGCTACTATGGGGAGGATGTGAGTTCTCAGTATTGTACATCTATTCAGAGAAGAGTTGCCCAGTAGTCAGAGCAAATACTCAGGAAAACAGCTGCCAGTTCAGACAGATGTATGTCAGCCCAGTGGGCTTGGGAAGGGTGGGCATTAAGGATTCACTGCCAGGCACCACTGTGACTGAAAACAAAAGTGTGCATGCATTTTAACTGTGTAACCATTTCATAGATGCAGAGAAAATGGCTCCATAGTCATGTCCAGTTCAATTAATATTTGTTGGTATTTACTTTCCTCCCGAAGGTGAGTGGGAGGGTAGGGGAACCTCCTTCTTTAATAAGTCACAATCTAGAAGAAGAATCAAAATATCTAAGCAGAAATGTTGCATTGCAAAATAGATAGCATTGAGTTCTGGGCCAGTTACGCAAAGTGTTTTGGAGAAGCAGAGCAATCATAAAATATCCATCATCTTTAAAGGCATGGTGACTTATAGTAGGAAACTCTGAAAATTAGTATTCACTGTACAACTATACTTGGCCCCAGATTTGTGAGGAAAGCATCTTTTCTATCAGAGTAGTTTGGTTCCTTTCTGTTAATCTTGTGGTAGTTTTTTTTTTTTTCCTGAAACGTTCTGGCTTTGGCCAGGTGGTTTGGCTCTTGTTAATTACATTTTAGTTACTTTGTTTTCCTGTTGCACATTAATCAACATATCCTGTTAGAAGCTCCTTAAATTTTAGTTACATACTGTTAATTAAGCGACATCCTTTTACAGATGGTGACCTAAGATCAGCCAATCGGAGCAGAGGGGCGGGGCCTGCTGGGTTAGAGATACGTGTGCTGCCTGCCTGCTCTGTGGAACTGCTTGCCCCAGCTTTGGCTGATGGCGCATCCTTCTGCAGAAGTAAACCTTGCCTTGCTGAGTTCCTTTCATGTTGGTGTCTTTATTCCTACTTGACACCCCAACATCCCGAGCCATTTATAGCATTCTAGACAGCCCTTGCAAAACACTGATATAGTGTTACTATTCCTATTAAATCTATGTAAAACTCAGGTAAGAAAGTCTGGATTTGCGTTAAGAAAAAGCTATTTTTTTCCAGCTCTGTAAACTCAGCTGTTATCAGATAAAAGGTTAGGGTTCATTCATTGAATGAATTTCAGCCAGAATGGTTCTATTCAGCATGACAAAACAAAGCAAAACAAGACAAAAATCATTCAAACTTCTAACATTGACTCCCTCTCTAATGTCTCCATGTGGTTGAAAATGACAAGTCCTAGTTTCTTTTGTCTTGCTGAGCTATTTAGAAATCTACTGTGAACCCACACTGCTACAAGCTAAGACCAATTTAAATAAATTATGGTAGATTTCTGACACTATAGTATAAAACTATTCCCACAGAGATGATGAGAACCAAATGAAAATGCTAATGGTAAACATTTGAGGAAAAAAAGTAGAAGGTGTAGAAGATCCAGAGAAGAAACACCTGGAGTCCTCAAGACCCCCTTACCCCGTTCCACTTCCATAGGTTCAGTTCCTGAAGTCAGCTGTGGACAAAAACTGTAATATGGAAATGTATAGTTTATGTTGTATATTTTCCTAATGATATTCTAGTTTACATTGCCCACAGCAGTAGATGAGGGGTAGAATCCTCACCAGAGTTTCTTGCTGTTTGAGTTCTTTAAGATTGCTCTTCTGACTGGGGTGAGTGGATTTTGAGCAGTGTTTTGATTTGCATTTCCCTTGAATATTTCTTTATGTATCCATTAGCCATGTGTGTTTTTCTTCTGAGAACTGCCTGTTCAATTCATTAGATGAAAGCTCTTTGTACAATTAATACATACAACAAATGATGGAAAACGAAGGCCAAGAAAGTAAAACTTGTGTGGGTACTAGTGGGAGGTGCCAAAAAGAGAGATAGTCAATGTACCTTCTATGTTCTGTATGTATGCAAGTAGAGTAATAAAAACTGGTCAAAATCTTCCTAAGAACCATGATAGAGGACATTGGCTTGATCGGGGTACTTTGCATGCATGCATAGAAAAACTAAATGAACAGTCCTTTGTACACTTAATAGATGCTAATAAAAAAAAACCACTTTGAAAAATACCTAAGTTTTATACCAGGCATAGTGGCTCAAAAGCCTGTAATCCTAGAAACTTAGGAGGCAGAGAGTTAACGATGATAGCTCAAGGCCTATCCGGACATAAAAATTCAAGAGACTCTCCATTTCAGCCAGTGTCTGTCTAGTCACATGACTCTGTCACCCCACTCCTGCGGGAAACACCAGTAGGATGGCAGCAGCCTCGGCCAGCCAGGAATCAAAGAGAAAGAGGACTCGTTGGAAACAGGCAATGCAAAAAGGTCTAGCTGTGTGGCTCAAGTGCAAGAGCGCCTGCCTAGCAGGCATAAAACCCTGAGTTCAAACCCTAGTACTGTCTGATGAAACCTTATGCTCTACCACTCTGCCCTTCCCAGAAATGTAACCATCACTTACTCCAGCGAATCCACACAGTAGAGGCTCCCACCCACTAGCAGTTTGTCTAAGTTATCAAACCAACTGTCACTTTATCATCGTCTGTAATCCAATGACCTTCACTGTCCTTAATAATAACCTCAGCAAGAGTAGTGATTCCAGCAGCTCAAATATGCCAAAGACAGGCTAGAAAGTGCTTCCTCCTTTAAGGGAAAAGGTGAAAGTTCTCAACATAAGGGAAGGATGAAAATTATATGCTGAGCTTGCTAAGATCTATGCTAAGTTGTTGATCCCTTGCCTAGCATATGAATTAAACTTCTTCATTAGTCAGTGTATATCAGACAAATCATAGTATGCATGGGTTTGGTACTACTCATGGCCTCCAGCATTCACTGGGGGTCCTGGAATAGATCCCCTTCAGAAAAAGAAGAATATACTTTTTATACTATGTATAAAAATCTGGAAAGAAAACTATTTTTTTTTCTATCAGTCATGGGGCTTGAACTCTGGGCTTGGGTGCAGTCCCTCAGCTCTTCAGCTCAAGGCGAGCGCTCTACTGCTTGAGCCACAGCGCCACTTCTGGTTTTCTAGTGGTTTATTGGAGATAAGAGTCTCATGGACTTTCCTGCCCGGGCTGGCCTTGAACCGTGATCCTCAGATCTCAGCCTCCTGAGTAGCTAGGATTACAGGTGTGAGCCACTGGCGTCTGGCTGGAAAGGAAACTATTTAAAGGAGACTTTATTATTTTCAACCTAAGATCTGCTATGAGAGGAAAATTCTACTTCCTGCCTCAGCAACATCAGACTTGGTTGTAAAGGGCTTCCCTCAGTCCAAGAAATGTGAGTGGAAGTGATGTGGCATGTGCCCTGACAAGCCCTCTTTCCCTTTCTTTTTGGTGTATTGGGCTTGAACCCAAGGCCTCACTCCAAGCAGGTACTCTACTGCTTGAGCCACACCTCCAGCCCTTTTTGCTCTGGTTACTTGACATATATTTCTGCTTTTTGCCTGCAAGAGCTTTTCCTGGAC